TTCTTGTTGTTGAGTCCTTTGAAATATGGTTAATTTAGTGAACATTCTGAAACGTTACCTTTTGTCGCTTTCTGGACAAAAGTGCACCATTCATTAAGCGCAAGGTGGAATGAATGACACTTCGTTATAAAAAATTCAAAAAGACGAAACGAAAGTTTCACCATGTGCTCATCATGTCTGTCACAGAACCACTTGAACGATGAAGCCCCGAATCGTATTACTCAGTCCGACAATTATCTCCCAGGATTTGATTTATCTAACGAGAATTACCGACGTATCGCGTCATGCAAGTTACAGAATACGTCAGTGCTTCTATCGTCCTATTCTAGGAGATTAATGTACCTCTGTGTGAATAACGATTTTCTGGTAGCCATGCGTTACAGGAATAGTTCGTTACCCTTGTGATGACGACCACGTGTTATCACATTATACCTGAACAATATACGGTATTAAATCATCAAAAATGGACAGTAAAGCTTCTATGACGAACGAGGCAAGCGCGTATACAAATTGGATAAACTCGGCGGCTGAGGTATTGGACACAGTGATTCATGTCGACGGATGATCGCACCGGCTTGTAGCGCGCAATACGACCCTTTTTGGCGTATTGCTATCTTCTGATGAACTACCTCGCTATGCGCGTGCCAACGAGCGGGCTTTCGAGGGCTTTGGCTCCCGATCCCCAAGCGGGCGGCATACCGTTCGTGTAATCTCCCTCTTCCTTTGTATCGGGGTATTATTCAACTCCTTGAGGAAGGCCACAAACTATTCTCCCGTATCAGTTACAAAGATGTGTGATGAATTAGCTACTTTGACAATTGCTGCGTGGTTGTGCAGTAATGCTCATTTAAGGCATTGAGAAGTTGCCATACTTTTTTCATTTGATCACAACACGTGTCTCCTCATGTTGTATCAAAATCTATTCGTACCTGCGGGGTATCTTGTCACAATCCGTCCATCTGCTTCTCGAAATTGAGGGGAAAAAAGGCAAAAACTGCCTTTTCGCAATTCTCTCCCGAGTTTTGGAATTGGATTTGATGCAACTGAATGTAGGGCAAAACGCGTAACTTATTCTTCGGAGTTTCGATTCCTTCCCCTGAAGACGGATATGGCATATTCTCCGAAATGTCGGGCTTGATGCATAAGATGAACCACCACAATTTTAGTTGAAGGGCTCACTCAACTGATTTTTGTTCACTTTCAATCAACTTGACGCTCAATGTGATAGGGAAAAAACCTTTAAGGCAAATTGCATTTTTACAGTGTAACCGTGCGCCTTACATTGGGGTCACGTACAAAATCCAAGATGGCTGATTGATATTAGGCCTATATGATTTTTAGCATACAAAAGCTCAACGCGGACGGGACAAATGATGCACGGTGAACATAACGCTCATCTAGAACCCATTGAATAACGAGGGGTGTGATTGAAATTCATGCCTGATGGAGTCGGATTTCACTCGTTATGGAGTGGAGACTATGTATATTTCATGAGCGCGGGCGGATAAGGTTTTTGTCAAGATGTTCCCCAATGCCGGCTTACTGCCCGAGTGTGAGCGGCATTCAGAGGCATATCCTCAATAAAAAAACGAACGAAAGCGGCTGCCATCGGATATCACCGAATACCTCTGGGCAAGCCCCATGCCTCCTTTAACTGGGTCAAGACGAGGTATATCCCGATTTGTATTCATGAAAAATTCGAAAGATGATATCGCTCTTTCTCTCACATTGACGCGTATGGCGCCATTTTGTTACGATGCAAAAAAAAAAGAGTTTTGTTTTGTTTCCTTGAATATTTGGGAGAGATGTTGGTGTTGATATATTGGCCCGCTGGAGAGCTCGTGCATGCCATGCCTGTAGCCGTGATGAATGTGTCACGGTGAAATGGGTCATGATGAATGGTTACATTGTGGTTAGGGTTCGTTGAGTAATGTAATTAGGGAAAATGTTGCATATCTTGTTAGGATTGCAGTAGTCTAATACTCTAATATAAATGGTCCAGTGCGGCACTTCAGACGAGCTTGCCTAAATGGGTGTGCTGTTGCATATGTTTGAAATTCCTGCTCTGAAAAAACTCCAGATTTTATTGAAAGTCGATCAAACCAAAGTCGGCGAGAACACGATGGAGCGCCTGACAGGCCTGTGTACTGTATATGAATTCACCTCGCTGGTGCATGGTACGCTGCCGGACGACGCCCCTGCATGCGTAAATTCAATTTTCGCGTGCGGCCTGTACACACACGACACTCGTTGGTTGGGACCGCCTGATTAGATTTGCATCAATTAATCACGTGGCGCAAGTGGATAGCTCCGGCTAGATGCACAGCAAACAAAGTCTAGCTAATTTATATACGAGACCATTGATAATGTTTTAACCAGTGGAAAAGCAAATCAGGGTTGGAGCCAATTTGATAGCTGCAAAGGTCAGGGAGTATTTGCTGAGCAAAAATCTATGTGTTGCTTTTTACTGGTTCTCGGCTGACCAACTCACAGATTGCAGATAGTTCTTTCTATCTTAATGCGGACTGGGAAAATGTCTTAGATTTGTATGAGGTGTGAATTAAGATTTTCTTTTTCAGGTATGTAAAGAGAAACAAGAGGAAGGAAATGGATTATACATCCTGAAGTCGGAAAAAATAGTTTTGTATTAAACGTTCGTGGTGTTGTTGTTGGTATATGTCGCTGCTGTTTTAGCTGGTAAAATGTCCAGACCAAACCCTCCTATGCAAACACACATTCTGTGCCAAGTTGCCCTTTCAGTCAAAATCAGTCAAGTGACATTTTTTTTTAACAGTCAAGAGCTCCCAGCCTCAATAAAGCTTTGACTGGCTGTGACTGTTTGTGTAATTTGATACAGCTTTCTTTTTTGACTGTAGGTGATTGATAAGCCAGTTGTGCCTACCACTTGCCTGTTTGGTATGCTGACTGAATTTGACGTGTCACTGTGCTTGCTTGAAATATGATCTGACTGTTGGTGACTAGCCTGTGTAAAAGGCATGGCAGGGGAGAGGATTGTTGTTGTTTTTTGACTGTCTGTGACTGTTCAGACAGCAGGAGGGTTTGTGGATTCTTGAACACTTTCTCCTGATGATGAAGATAAGAATAAACTGACTGAAACGTCGACTTAAAATCACTTATCTTTTCGGGGACAGTCACTTCACATTGCCTAAATTGTGCCCTCTTCTATGCAAATCTTCAAATCTCATCAAGAAATAATTTGGGCTCTTTTACCCCTATTTCGTTTTTTTTTTTCGCTCGTGTGAACATCCTGATGCATTTGAAGATGCATTTGAAAAAGTCTTTTGAAGCATTAACTGGGGCACTGATAACAAGAAAGCTTGGTAATTTCCCAGCAAATAGCGGCTCGACCATCCAAATTAGGTCTGTCTTGTTTTGATTGATAATGGTCGTAAGGACTTTGTGCCCTATTTCGATTCTCTATAATTAAATTTGGCGTCGGGATTTCACTGCCAAAACGAAACGAATGAGAATCAATTGCATGCAGCTTGAGATTTAAGATGCCGCCCAGATGCTTTCAGGAACGTAAACAAGCATTTCACTGCAATTTAATTTTTGTTTTCTTATGACGTCATCATATTAATCATCATTTTTCACTCGAAATGCTCACCGCATGCTCACAATCGTATAGCACTTACATCTAGAGCCGACCAATAATGCCAGCATTTTGCTTTCAAACGAAATTCCATTCGAGTTGTCTTTGAAAGTTTTCGGGGGTTGAGACCCATACGAACGAAGTTTAATTACAGGAGAAACTATAGAGAATCTGATTTGTAACTGCGGTGGTGGGCGATTCTGTGTTTGGCAATACGGATCTGCAGACAACAATGATGCTCATGACGTCATTATTCCTTCTTCGAAGCGAAAATAAACAAATTTGAACGAATCATGCGAGACGAATGATCTAGCTAGAGATTGAGGCATGGGTCTTCCTCTTTCTTGATGTCAACAGGAAACGTCCGTTATTGTTACGCCAAAAAAAGATCTGATTTGTCCCGTCCGGATTTATACATCTTTTCTAGACCCAATCCACGGAGAAGTAATTGCAATTTCCGTTTTGGGAGAGCCTCTTAACCCCCTTTTCCCCTTTCGTCAGATCTCATCACTTCCTTTCAATGCTAAATTTTCCCAGACGAGTCCCCCTTGTTGTGTTTTCTGGCTTTTTCCCCCGTCAAACATCGTCTCAGGTTTTTTTCTTTAGGGTCGCTGAGAATGATGATGATGATGGTCCTTGTAGTACGTGACTGTCGTTCATTCATGTTCTTGTGTACCGCGGCTCTCTCCCCGCCCGGCGTCCAGACAGTAATATCCTGCCGAATGTCACATCAAGGCGGCCTCATTAACGGTTTATAGCCGGCCATGTTTACCCTTCTGTGGGTCGGGCCGGAGTGAAGATCGTGACTGATCGACGAGCTAAAAAAAAACCCAGCATTCTTCATGATTTGTTTGCTGAAACTGTAAATTATTCAGGCAAATATATAATCTGTGGTGTCGTGGATCGCAGACCAAAGGTTCTGTTTTGTACTCCATTAACAACAAACCACACCTTTCCAGCGAAATTGGATTTACTTGTACTAAGGATTTATCAAAATTTCCAGAGAGGAAACGAATATCAGCGGATGCTGGAAAACGAAATACTTTTATTTTCAGTTTTCTTTGAATATCAATGTAACAATAAATTAATCTGGTATTTAAGCGTAATGTTCGTTGGAAGAATGTCAGAGTTGTCGTGAATCCACACAGAGAACATTGTGGGTATGACCACACACTTCTGATGACATTTTCAATTAGTTAAAATCTTCAGAAATTTTACCTAAGGCATTCCCCGTTCTCAACGCCTACACAAAGTAATTGAAAAAAATGCACACACAGCTGGCAAAATACTCAATATTGATTTACATGATGGCTGTGTGATATCGAGTCACTTACAATCCTCGTCCATCATCCCATTAATATCTCCATCATCTTTTCCCCCGCTCCAGGTTTAGCAAACATGGCCTCGCCCCTCCAGCTGATTTGGGCAGCCGCGTTGCTAGCCGCCGTGATGACGTCATGCGTGGTGCGCACAGCGCCCACTGGCGTCAAGGAGCAGGAATCGGACGCCGGGAAATTCCAGGAAGCAGTGTTGGAGGAGGCGGGAAACACGGAGGATGTTGACGAAGGTGTGTGTTGATCGGAGGTTTTTTCGTTCTATCACACAACTCTTTTTTTCTCTAGGGTTTCATGTTGAGACGAAGGTTTGCCTACTTTTGGCAACTCGATTTTCTTTGATAAACTTTAACGTAGTCATTTGCTAGTCAGTTTCCATCTGACGTCTTGCCTTTTGTTTGTCTGAAGTATTTCGTCCATTTCAAAAACTGACCATTTCATCGAGATAGTTTCTTTACTGGGTTTTCCAGGCGTGCTTTTAAGTTTAATTCGTCTTCGTGTAAACGGAACAATTTCAGATACTAATTTTTTTTCAGTTTTAATAATAATACTTTCTAATTCTTTACATTACCATTGAGTAATTACTTTGTCACTAGCACATTATGTGTTGATTTCTATTTCAAGATGAACAAAAAATAAATCTGAGATGTGACTTTATTCATTAAACAGCCGTCGGGGATGCATTGGCCAAAGATGCAAAGATTGAAAAGGAGGAGACACTGTTGGCCGAAGGCGAGCATGGCGAGGCCCTCGATGGAGACGAGGAAGAAAAGGAGGAGGTAGTGGAGGATGCAATGGATGAGGTCCTCAATAGAGGTAAGGATGAGGTTATTGAGGACCTCAAAGAAGACGTCATCAATGATGCTGACTCCATGGAAACCGATGATGTCATCGTCACTGGGAGCAGCAGCCAGCCGGAGGCCAGTGACTATCTGTGGGAGCCATCCTTCGAGTACGACCTCTCCGAAGGTGACCTCGACACCTGGTACTTGTACAACCTCCCCGATGAACCCAGCGAGTGGTCCAGCAACTTTGAAATCTTTGACGAGGAGTACTTTCCCTACTACGGCTCCAGTTACGAAGACGTGAATGGAGTTTACGACGATCTTGACAACAACCTCCTCTTCGATATGCCTCCGGGAGTATTTAATGGCATCCCCGCAGAGGAGCTCAATAACAAAGTCGACCAGACGGTGGACGAGTTCCTGTGCATGTTGGGATTGTGCGATGATGTCAGAGTCTACCCAGACGATGACGTTTGGGAGGAACCAAATGAGATTCAGTTCACCGAGGAAGGCATGCTTGGCAACAGCAACGAGGTAGAGGAAGAATCTGAGGAGAAAGATATCTACCCGGTGGATGTCAAATCCGAAGAGCAGAAGGAGGAAGCCACAAATAGCAGTGCTAAGGCCGAGGCTGCTGATGGTCAGCCACCACCAGTGGGCAGCAGACACAGGAGCAAGCGTGACCTCTCTTGGGATCAGCTGGAGCGAGATAACGAGCTGCTCAGTAAGATCAACTCCCTGGAGGTGGATGGGGCAGTTGAGGAAACAGCAGAGGATGACACCGGCCTGACCGCAGCAGACCGCTTCGAGGACCTCCTGGAGTACTTCAAGGATGAGGCAGCCGAGAACGAAAAGGCAGCAGATGAAGAGGAGTTCTACCTGGCAGTCCCAGAGCCCATTCTGAATGAGATCGTCCGAGAGGCCACTGGGGGCGAGTTCCAAGACGTCATCGAGGATGAGGAGGCACTGGAGGAGGAAGAGGATCAGGCCAACCTAGCGGATGGGATAGAAGAAACCGGAGGATTTATTGAGGATGCTGAGGATGTGGAGGGAGGAGATGAATGGGGTGCTTATCTTGTTCCAGGATCGCCGTACGTCCAGGACACCCTGAAGTACGATGGATATAAGCGGGATGACGAGAGGGAGGCTCTGAAGGTGTACATCGAGAGCTTGCAGAATCTGGAAGGGTATCGCAAGAGGACGGACCGGGGAGGTAAGAATTCAAAATAAACAGGTTCATATTTTGTCTCCCTGGAAAAATATTTGACCATACAACACAAGTCTTGAATGAATCAGGAAGGTTTTTTGGTCAGTCACCGCCAGAAAAATAATGTATCCGAAATGTATTTCCAAAATATTCTAAACTAGGCAGTGCAAGATTCCATTAAGAAATCTGTAAAAATTCTCCATCTAATTTGATTTTTTTTCATTTTAGGTTTTAACTACTTGTTTTTGATGTTGGTCGTTGTGATATAATTAATACAAAATATTTTAATATGAAGTCCTATTATTAGTAGGAAACGCTATAAACGCAAATCTTTTGAAATAAGAATTTTAGTATCCTTTGATGGATTATTGACATGCGAGATGTTGTTACCTGATCATTATATTACTATATTTCCAAACAGATGATGGTTCACGATCAGCGGCAGATTTTCTGAGACAGCTTGTTCCCAGAAGTCCGCCCAACGCCATTCGCTACCCTAAAACTGGTCTGGAGCCATTCTCGCGGGAAAAATACTTCCCTCTCTTTTCCGACCCCGACGTTATGGAACGAGATGTTGAGGACGATGATGAGGACATCTTGGACACTAATCAAGAGGACCTCCTGGAAAGGTACAACGAGTTGATGGAGCTGCTCAACAACGAGCTAGAGGCCACAGTCTTGATCTCGACCATCCAGGACATGGCGGCGGAGCTCGGTAGAGACCGGCAGCTCTTGGATGAGCTGGCCGAAGAAGAAGCTGAGGAGGAGCTGCAGCTGGCCCTGGACGAAAACAACCAAGAGATTCTTGAGCTGGTGGGAATCGCAAACAGCCATCCGATGAAGCGGGCCCCGCGCATAATCGACTATCCAGATTTTAACGAGTACCCTCCGGAGTTCCACCGCTCCGTGCCAGCATTCGAGGGGAAGGCCAACAGTCTGAGTGAGGAGGAGATGCTGAGGCTCTACGAGGAGTACCTCAATGAAGCCGCCGAGGAGGCCAAGTGGGGTGACTTCATATACCAGCCGCGTGAGAGGCGAGAGGGGGAGGATAGCCTGACAGGACCTCACGGGGCTTACTACGTCCAGGGCCGGATGATGGGTGACCTCATGAAGCCCAAGCGAGAATGGATGAGTAAGAGAGATGACCCTGCACTCTACATCACGGATGATGAGACGGATCAACCTTACATTCTCCTGGATCCGTCAGACCTCGGCTATGTTGAGTGGCCGGGTGATTTCGAGATCTTCTATGACACGAGGGACGGGACTTATGTCTTGTACCCCTACCCCAAGCCCCAAGATGCAAGTGTTCTATCAGACGAGGCCTTACTAGATGATCAAGGGTTGTCAGAGAGGAACTTTGTCATTGATGACGGTGGTGATGCGGTCGGGGAGGAAAGGGAAGAGTGGGGAGATTTTAAAGATGATGGTGTTCTCCTGAATGATGTAAGTATCTGTCCAGAATAAAAATGCTGACATTTCCCTACCCATAAACCTCCTGATTTTCATATAATGTATGCAAAAGATTTGTTTAAAACAGAAAGAGAATTATAGCCATTAAGGATATTCTATTAAGGAGTTCCAATTAAATGTGTACATTTTGTCCGGGTGTTATATACTGATTAACGAATTTCGATGTTTGTTCAGTGATATCCTATACATCATATTTCTTCACTAAATCATGAAGACGTCCTCTGTTTTGAGAATTTCTGCATTTTGTGCAAAAATAGACTGATACTTCTAAAGTGCACCTGTTAGTGTTAACTGTCCGAATCTATAGAGGAGAAAATTCCCAATGAAACTCAATAAGGGCTTCTTCAGATCAAAATTCACCTGTCAATTTTAGACGGACTGTGGCAATTTTTTGACGGGTTCAAGAGGTCGCCATTTTGTTATTTTGATCACGGAATGCCGATCTTTCTTAGATCTTCATTTCCACCCACGTAGTGGATCATTGGATAGTGTTATCCATCATGCCGGGGAGCTGTTGTGGGGGGGGGGGGGGGGGGCAGTGCTTCCTCATCCTTAATGTCAAAATTGGATCAGTTCTTGGCTCGGCAAACGGAAATTTATCCTTAGGCAAACTTTGACGAGAGGTTGTAAATGGCGAGCGTTTGGGAAGCCCACGGCGATCCATCACTCGACATGTTTGGGTCAATAACTTAATGTCTCCCGATGTTTACTCTCCGTTTGAGTGACATATCGGGTTGAGCATTAATCGACAAGGGGCGACTTCCATGAATGTTTTGGGCGAATTGAGAACATTATAATCCACGTTTGTGTCGTGTTGGGCTGGAGGAAAGCGGAACCCGGAAAGCACACTGTTTATATCCTCAGCGTGTGTTCTCTTACATCGATTAATTTGGTTAATGCAACCTACATACAGTTCAACACGAACTCCTTTAGGCCGAATAAAAAAAACATGTTTCTCGTCCGGGTTTTTGACAAAAATGAGGAAGAGGGGCTTTTTATTTTATTTTTTTATTTATTTTTAAGATGGCCGCCGTTTTAAAATTTCCTGCAACCGTTGGTGTTTCCACTGTTCAAAGACACTTTTAAAATGAAAGACAAGTTGGACAAAAGAACTGAACATATTTACAGTGTCATTTAGAGTTGTATTTGTCTACAATGAACAGTTTTGGATGTATTTGCTTTAACCTTGGACTTTTTTGGTGTTTTTTACTGCATTTTTCAAAAATAAAAAATAATATAAAAATCCAGGCGGCCTCCAAAAAGGAAGCGGGCGGGGACGAGAAACATGTTTTTACCCCTTGCCTTAGAGGTATACAATAGATGTACTGCGGTAAAAAGTCGCCCACGAACTTAAAGGGAGAACGTGCCATTCTCAGAATCATTCAAAGTTCTGTTTATCTGAATTTTCTGAGGAAAGAGAACTCTAGAACTGGGAAATAAATTGGTTTGTTCAGTCAACTTATCATATTGCTTTCTATCTTGTGTGTCTATTATATACCCGATCGGTCACGAACTAGGTTTTGTTGATCGTGAGAGTGAGAGTTCTTATTTCAAATCTTGTTTTCCACCTTGTGAAACGTCCTGGACTTTATTTAATATAGTTGCTAGATTTGGTTCCACTGAATGAGCTATCCAGTTAAAATGAGAATTAAATAAATGTGATTGACTGTAGTGTTGGTGGGTTATTTTACCCTAACCATATGCCCGGATCCAAATTATAGGCCAGCCTAGCTGTTATAATTATGATCACCTTCCTCTCCTGTACTTGTATACTCTGTCCCCATCCCAAACAGATGAAGACCATCGAAGATGACCTCGACCAGCTCGAAGATCTCCAGATTCTCACCGAGATTGCGGCAAAGCTGGGGAGAGAAGACGAGCGGGCGAGAGAGGAGGAGACTCTCTTGAGGGCGCTGTTGGGGAAGTGAAGATGATGTGGTAACATTCGCGGGGAATCATGGGAAGAAATGGAAGCCTATGTTATGCACAACATCGAAATAAGACTGGAAAATGGTTCCATCCAACCCAAAGTATTTTTGTGTGATTAAGAATATTTTACAAAATTATGTATAACTTGTGGAAGCCCCGTATGAGTTTGATCTTGCATAAATGATCTTGCGGAATATTATCGTGTGGGTGCATCAACTATTACAGAAAAGATACATTTTCGTTCTGAATTATCGTATATTATAAGCACAGCTATGTGGAAATTAAAGCACGCACGCCAATGAGCAATGTACCATAAACACCAATATTATATTTATGATTGTGAAAAAAACCGTAACATTCCGAATGATGAATTTATTTTTTGATGTTTATTGAGAGTATAGAAATATTTGAGTTACATAAAGGTTTTGATGGTTAACCATTATGTGTGTTATAGCTTAAACTTTCAAGAAGGTGCAATATCTACTTACTAAATACGTAATTGGTGATTGAGCTTAAAAACACGCAGCTCGTACGGTGCATCGAATTTAAATTCAAAATGTGCAATATTTTTTGTTTCGTTTATGATGTGTGCCGTTTTATTGATTATCATATTGTACTATAAGATTAGTAATGAACATCACGTTGCATTTGGCATATTAGTGAATAGCACTTAACTAAAGCACAGCTGTTTTGTTTTTGTTTCATTATTATCAGAACAGAAAAAATGACTTCGTAGTATAGTTTTGGTGGACCGTTCGGGCACAAATAAATTGTAGGGCATAAAAGCATACAAGCTAGTGGTTAGTAATATGTAAACTATCTGACTATGGGGCTAAGTCATGAGGGAGTTGATCTTCAAATTCGTGGCCAAAGTATTATTTGAATGAAATGATTTATATAAGATACACAAGTACATTGGCAATTTCTTTGAAGTTCTGAAAAGGATCCGTAACTGTGACAAAATGTTGGATTATTAAAATGGCATTACGTAATGTTATCTGGTCTACACAATGCCGGTGTCATATGAAAATCCGACTCCTATGGAAATCGGACCCATTTCCCTATGATTGGTTAATCCCTCGCATGTGACAGGTCACTCTCCCATAATGATCCTAAAATAGCATATTATCGGACTTCCGCATGCGCAATACTGCCAATGAGTCCATATTTCATGGAGTCGGATATTCTCGCTACACCTGATTGAACTCATTCGTCGGTATTACGGGGTAATCCCATAAGATAGCACTGCCCGGCTGGGACAAGCAAGAATGAGTATTTGTTTCTCCCTGCTTAAATTACTGTTTGGTCGTACTCGTAACATATATTTGGTTCACACATTGGCGTTGATTTAAATAAAATTTCGACTCGCTGCCTATCGAGTCGACAAACTATTGGGCTTTGCCTTAACGTGTTGTTACGAGCCCACTAATATGATGTAATGCTTTAGTACGGTTTACTCCCGCGCTAGAATTTTTTGGTATTTAATGAATGTTTGTTATGGTAGCTACGCGCGGGTAAGTACCCTATTATATAAGCACTGACTGGCTTTTATTCGCTCTGTTGGTGCCCATGTACAACCATTATGTGCAATTTCCATTAGCGCGTCGTTGAGCCAGCTTCTCCCGTCGTTCTTGCCGATCTACGCACCCCTCATCGCTGGATCGTGGACGAGGCTGACGGTACTGACGGAGACCTGGACTGTCGTGGCCCGCCTGATGTGGCTGACTACCCGGGGTTGAACGCCGACCTACCTGTGGCTTGGCTGATCCACGGCGATTTTGTTTCTTGTAAGATTTCTCAAGTTCTAACCCCTTGAAAATATCTCTCCCCCTCCCCCCCCCCCTTAAAGAAACACATCCCGACTGCTTATGATTTGAATGTGCATTGTGTTTCCCCCACTTAAACAAAACAACCGTTAATGACAAATGAAATGTCTTTTTTTTTTAAAAACTAATAGTGGTTAAAATATTTGCTAGAAAGTTTCATTCCAAAAAAATGCTATTGCCAGATGTGCCTCGCAAATGAAATATGGCGTGCACGAATTGACAAATCAACAAAAACTCTTCTTTTTTTTTAATAAAAAAAAAAAAACAATTTTGGCTAAAAAATGAAATAGCTTGAAAATTGCTAGGAAGAGGCCTCAGGGCCCTCAGAATACATTCGGAAACGTTCCCTGGCCGGATGTGCCATTAAAAAGAAATATGGCGCCCACAAATTGACAAAATTGAATGTTAAAAATCATAAAATTGTCATATTTGCCCAAGTCTATGAAATTATCACCTAAGAAGTAATAAAATATGTTTATCATGCCTCCTAAAGTGTTTCTGAGTTGTTTCCAAAAAAGCCAATTTTTGACCAAATTTTGATAAAAAAACAAGGCTTACAATGAAATTGCTTGAAAATTGCTAGGAAGATGCCTGAGGGCCCTTAGAACACATTCCAAAACGTTTCCTGGCCGGATGTGCCATTAAAAAGAAATATGGCGCCCATAAATTGACAAAATTGAATGTTAAAAATCATAAAATTGTCATATTTGCCCAAGTCTATGAAATTATCACCTAAGAAGTAATCAAAAATGTTTATCATGCCTCCTGAAGTGTTTCTGAGTTGTTTCCAGAAAAGTCAATTTTTGACCAAATTTTGATACAAAAAACAAGGCTAACCCCTTGCATTTTTTTAAAATGTTGGCCAAAAAATGAAATTGCTTGAAAATTGCTAGGAAGATGCCTGAGGGCCCTTAGAACACATTCCGAAACGTTTCCTGGCCGGATGTGCCATTAAAAAGAAATATGGCGCCCATAAATTGACAAAATTGAATTAAAAAATTATAAAATTGTCATATTTGCCCAAATCTCTGAAATTATCACCTAAGGGGTAATAAAACATGTTTATCATGCTTCCCAAAGTGTTTCTATGTTGTTTCCAGAAAAGTCAATTTTTGACCAAATTTTGATAAAAAAACAAGGCTAACCCCTTGCATTTTTTTTCAATTTTGGCCAAAAAATGAAATTGCTTGAAAATTGCTAGGAAGATGCCTGAGGGCCCTTAGAACACATTCCGAAACGTTTCCTGGCCGGATGTGCCATTAAAAAGAAATATGGCGCCCACAAATTGACAAAATTGAATGTTAAAAATCATAAAATTGTCATATTTGCCCAAGTCTATGAAATTATCACCTAAGAAGTAATAAAATATGTTTATCATGCCTCCTAAAGTGTTTCTGAGTTGTTTCCAGAAAAGTCAATTTTTGACCAAATTTTGATAAAAAAACAAGGCTAACCCCTTGCATTTTTTTTCAATTTTGGCCAAAAAATGAAATTGCTTGAAAATTGCTAGGAAGATGCCTGAGGGCCCTTAGAACACATTCCGAAACGTTTCCTGGCCGGATGTGCCATTAAAAAGAAATATGGCGCCCATAAATTGACAAAATTGAATTAAAAAAATTATAAAATTGTCATATTTGCCAAAATCTCTGAAATTATCACCTAAGGAGTAATAAAACATGTTTATCATGCTTCCTAGAGTGTTTCTATGTTGTTTCCAGAAAAGTCAATTTTTGACCAAATTTTGATAAAAAAACAAGGCTTACCCCTTGCATTTTTTTTCAATTTTGGCCAAAAAATGAAATTGCTTGAAAATTGCTAGGAAGATGCCTGAGGGCCCTTAGAACACATTCCGAAACGTTTCCTGGCCGGATGTGCCATTAAAAAGAAATATGGCGCCCACAAATTGACAAAATTGAATGTTAAAAATCATAAAATTGTCATATTTGCCCAAGTCTATGAAATGTTCACCTAAGAAGTAATAAAATATGTTTATCATGCCTCCTAAAGTGTTTCCATGTTGTTTCCAGAAAAGTCAATTTTTGACCAAATTTTGATAAAAAAACAAGGCTAACCCCTTGCATTTTTTTTCAATTTTGGCCAAAAAATGAAATTGCTTGAAAATTGCTAGGAAGATGCCTGAGGGCCCTTAGAACACATTTCGAAACGTTTCCTGGCCGGATGTGCCATTAAAAAGAAATATGGCGCCCACAAATTGACAAAATTGAATAAAAAAAATTATAAAATTGTCATATTTGCCAAAATCTCTGAAATTATCACCTAAGGAGTAATAAAACATGTTTATCATGCTTCCTAGAGTGTTTCTATGTTGTTTCCAGAAAAGTGAATTTTTGACCAAATTTTGATAAAAAAACAAGGCTTACCCCTTGCATTTTTTTTCAATTTTGGCCAAAAAATGAAATTGCTTGAAAATTGCTAGGAAGATGCCTGAGGGCCCTTAAAACACATTCCGAAACGTTTCCTGGCCGGATGTGCCATTAAAAAGAAATATGGCGCCCACAAATTGACAAAATTGAATGTTAAAAATCATAAAATTGTCATATTTGCCCAAGTCTATGAAATGTTCACCTAAGAAGTAATAAAATGTGTTTATCATGTCTCCTAAAGTGTTTCCATGTTGTTTCCAGAAAAGTCAATTTTTGACCAAATTTTGATAAAAAAACAAGGCTAACCCCTTGCATTTTCTTTCAATTTTGGCCAAAAAATGAAATTGCTTGAAAATTGCTAGGAAGATGCCTGAGGGCCCTTAGAACACATTCCGAAACGTTTCCTGGCCGGATGTGCCATTAAAAAGAAATATGGCGCCCACAAATTGACAAAATTGAATGTTAAAAATCATAAAATTGTCATATTTGCCCAAGTCTATGAAATGTTCACCTAAGAAGTAATAAAATATGATAATCATGCCTCCTAAAGTGTTTCTGAGTTGTTTCCAGAAAAGTCAATTTTTGACCAAATTTTGATAAAAAAACAAGGCTAACCCCTTGCATTTTTTTTCAATTTTGGCCAAAAAATGAAATTGCTTGAAAATTGCTAGGAAGATGCCTGAGGGCCCTTAGAACACATTCCGAAACGTTTCCTGGCCGGATGTGCCATTAAAAAGAAATATGGCGCCCACAAATTGACAAAATTGAATGTTAAAAATCATAAAATTGTCATATTTGCCCAAGTCTATGAAATTATCACCTAAGAAGTAATAAAATATGTTTATCATGCCTCCTAAAGTGTTTCTGAGTTGTTTCCAGAAAAGTCAATTTTTGACCAAATTTTGATAAAAAAACAAGGCTAACCCCTTGCATTTTTTTTCAATTTTGGCCAAAAAATGAAATTGCTTGAAAATTGCTAGGAAGATGCCTGAGGGCCCTTAAAACACATTCCGAAACGTTTCCTGGCCGGATGTGCCATTAAAAAGAAATATGGCGCCCATCAATTGACAAAATTGAATTAAAAAAATCATAAAATTGTCATATTTGCCAAAATCTCTGAAATTATCACCTAAGGAGTAATAAAACATGTTTATCATGCTTCCTAGAGTGTTTCTATGTTGTTTCCAGAAAAGTTAATTTTTGACCAAATTTTGATAAAAAAACAAGGCTTACCCCTTGCATTTTTTTTCAATTTTGGCCAAAAAATGAAATTGCTTGAAAATTGCTAGGAAGATGCCTGAGGGCCCTTAGAACACATTCCGAAACGTTTCCTGGCCGGATGTGCCATTAAAAAGAAATATGGCGCCCACAAATTGACAAAATTGAATGTTAAAAATCATAAAATTGTCATATTTGCCCAAGTCTATGAAATGTTCACCTAAGAAGTAATAAAATATGTTTATCATGCCTCCTAAAGTGTTTCCATGTTGTTTCCAGAAAAGTCAATTTTTGACCAAATTTTGATAAAAAAACAAGGCTAACCCCTTGCATTTTTTTCAATTTTGGCCAAAAAATGAAATTGCTTGAAAATTGCTAGGAAGATGCCTGAGGGCCCTTAGAACACATTCCGAAACGTTTCCTGGCCGGATGTGCCATTAAAAAGAAATATGGCGCCCACAAATTGACAAAATTGAATGTTAAAAATCATAAAATTGTCATATTTGCCCAAGTCTATGAAATTTTCACCTAAGGAGTAATAAAATATGTTTATCATGCCTCCTAAAGTGTTTCTGAGCTGTTTCCAGAAAAGTCAATTTTTGACCAAATTTTGATAAAAAAACAAGGCTAACCCCTTGCATTTTTTTTCAATTTTGGCCAAAAAATGAAATTGCTTGAAAATTGCTAGGAAGATGCCTGAGGGCCCTTAGAACACATTCCGAAACGTTTCCTGGCCGGATGTGCCATTAAAAAGAAATATGGCGCCCACAAATTGACAAAATTGAATGTTAAAAATCATAAAATTGTCATATTTGCCCACGTCTATGAAATTATCACCTAAGAAGTAATAAAATATGTTTATCATGCCTCTTAAAGTGTTTCTGAGTTGTTTCCAGAAAAGTCAATTTTTGACCAAATTTTGATAAAAAAACAAGGCTAACCCCTTGCATTTTTTTTCAATTTTGGCCAAAAAATGAAATTGCTTGAAAATTGCTAGGAAGATGCCTGAGGGCCCTTAGAACACATTCCGAAACGTTTCCTGGCCGGATGTGCCATTAAAAAGAAATATGGCGCCCATAAATTGACAAAATTGAATTAAAAAAATTATAAAATTGTCATATTTGCCAAAATCTCTGAAATTATCACCTAAGGAGTAATAAAACATGTTTATCATGCTTCCTAGAGTGTTTCTATGTTGTTTCCAGAAAAGTCAATTTTTGACCAAATTTTGATAAAAAAACAAGGCTTACCCCTTGCATTTTTTTTCAATTTTGGCCAAAAAATGAAATTGCTTGAAAATTGCTAGGAAGATGCCTGAGGGCCCTTAGAACACATTCCGAAACGTTTCCTGGCCGGATGTGCCATTAAAAAGAAATATGGCGCCCACAAATTGACAAAATTGAATGTTAAAAATCATAAAATTGTCATATTTGCCCAAGTCTATGAAATTATCACCTAAGAAGTAATAAAATATGTTTATCATGCCTCTTAAAGTGTTTCTGAGTTGTTTCCAGAAAAGTCAATTTTTGACCAAATTTTGATAAAAAAACAAGGCTAACCCCTTGCATTTTTTTTCAATTTTGGCCAAAAAATGAAATTGCTTGAAAATTGCTAGGAAGATGCCTGAGGGCCCTTAGAACACATTCCGAAACGTTTCCTGGCCGGATGTGCCATTAAAAAGAAATATGGCGCCCACAAATTGACAAAATTGAATGTTAAAAATCATAAAATTGTCATATTTGCCCAAGTCTATGAAATTATCACCTAAGAAGTAATAAAATATGTTTATCATGCCTCTTAAAGTGTTTCTGAGTTGTTTCCAGAAAAGTCAATTTTTGACCAAATTTTGATAAAAAAACAAGGCTAACCCCTTGCATTTTTTTTCAATTTTGGCCAAAAAATGAAATTGCTTGAAAATTGCTAGGAAGATGCCTGAGGGCCCTTAGAACACATTCCGAAACGTTTCCTGGCCGGATGTGCCATTAAAAAGAAATATGGCGCCCATAAATTGACAAAATTGAATTAAAAAAATTATAAAATTGTCATATTTGCCAAAATCTCTGAAATTATCACCTAAGGAGTAATAAAACATGTTGCTCATGCTTCCTAAAGTGTTTCTGAGTTGTTTCCAGAAAAGTCAATTTTTGACCAAATTTTGATTAAAAAACAAGGCTTACCCCTTGCATTTTTTTTCAATTTTGGCCAAAAAATGAAATTGCTTGAAAATTGCTAGGAAGATGCCTGAGGGCCCTTAGAACACATTCCGAAATGTTCCTTGGCCGGATGTACTATTAAAAAGAAATATGGCGCCCATAATTTGACAAAATTTAATGTAAAAAAATCATAAAATTGTCATATTTGCCCAAGTCTGTGAAATTATCACCTAAGGAGTAATAAAATATGTTTATCATGCCTCCTAAAGTGTTTCTGAGTTGTTTCCAGAAAAGTGAATTTTTGACCAAATTTTGATAAAAAAACAAGGCTAATCCCTTACAATTTTTTTCAATTTTGGCCAAAAAATGAAATTGCTTGAAAATTGCTAGGAAGATGCCTGAGGGCCCTTAGAACACATTCCGAAATGTTCCCTGGCCGGATGTGCCATTTAAAAGAAATATGGCGTCCATAAATTGACAAAATTTAATGTAAAAAAATTATAAAATTGTCATATTTGCCCAAATCTCTGAAATTATCACCTAAGGAGTAATAAAACATGTTGCTCATGCTTCCTAAAGTGTTTCTGAGTTGTTTCCAGAAAAGTCAATTTTTGACCAAATTTTGATAAAAAAACAAGGCTTACCCCTTGCATTTTTTTCAATTTTGGCCAAAAAATGAAATTGCTTGAAAATTGCTAGGAAGATGCCTGAGGGCCCTTAGAACACATTCCGAAACGTTTCCTGGCCGGATGTGCCATTAAAAAGAAATATGGCGCCCATAAATTGACAAAATTGAATGTAAAAATAATCATAACATTTTCATATTTGCCCAAATCTCTGAAATTATCACCTAAGGAGTAATAAAACATGTTTATCATGCTTCCTAAAGTGTTTCTATGTTGTTTCCAGAAAAAACAATTTTTGACCAAATTTTGATAAAAAAACCAAGGCTAACCCCTTGCAATTTTTTTTCAATTTTGGCCAAGAAATGAAATTGCTTGAAAATTGCTCGGAAGAACAAATACTATTCTATGAAACGAAAAATACAAAACAAGAACTCGAAAACAAAAAGAAAAGGGGAAAATAAGTAGCAATTTTCTTTGACGTTAAATTTATTTTTTGTATGCCTGAAAGCACAAAATGAAAGATAAGGCACAAAAAAAATATACCAAAAGGCACATTTTACATTTTTACCACTCAAAAAGATCCTTCAAGGCGATATCAATGCTGTTACCACACACATTGAAAATCTTCACACCAGACTTGCGCTCCATTCCTGCAAAACATAAACAGATGGACGGAATATTAATGAAGATGATATCTTTAATATATAAGTATTACTCTGCAAGTTTGTCACATGGCAAGTTAGTAAAGAAAACTTTTAATGTTAATCAGAGTAACTGTTTTAATTTGATTACATAATTTTGTCCACACACACAAAATTTCGAATATTTCCAGATTTCTAGAAGACACTAAAATATCAAAATGACAAACCTAACTTCACCCACTTTCTAGACTCAATTATCAATATATATCTACCACCGCACATTGACATAATTAAAACTTTTCAAATAAAATTCAATGCCTAGAATTTATCAACATGTACGAGGTCTCTTTGGTCTTTAGATTGTCAATTCTCTATTCAATCCAACACATTTCAACTTGTATTAAAGTGTGGAATTTACTGTGAAATAGTTCGCACAAATTCATAATACTATCGAGTTTTTTGGGGCATATAATAAAGATTTGTTGGTATTTACACAAAACCGATATTATTTACAAACAAAACCTGTTATTTTAAAATAAGAGATACTTTTGTTGGCCTAGTGTGAGCCAATAAACATCTGCCATCCCTGATTCTTTAAAAAGCAAGTAATCTTTGGTAACAGAACAAGTGGTTTACAAATAAAAAAAAAATAACCACAAGTGAATAAGATAAAATGAAATTGTCATAATACTGCAACACCTTATCTCTTCATTTGTAGAAGTTCTTCCCGACGGCATTGTACATCCGCAAGAAGTGGACGTAGCCGCTGTCGAAGCCCACCATGGCCGTCTGATTGTCTGGGGAGAAAGCATAGGACGTGACCTTGGCCACCTGAAGCTTAAATTTCCCCACGGGCTGACCGACGCCCACCTTAGAGGTGGTCAAAACGCCATCTGGAGTTACATTGTTCAGGACTACTCCCTCCAGCTGCTTCTCGAGTGTCCGGCCGGGGTTGACGTAACCGTCCACCGGGACTAACATCTTGTCGTAACCCCCGGGCATGTGGATGGTCTTTAGCAGGCCCTCGGAGTTGACCCCTATGACCATGACCACCGTCTCAGTTGCTGCTTCCCCTGGCTTTTGACCCCTGAACTTTGGGGTCGCACCCTCGACCTTCTTCTGGTAGAACATGACGCACTTGTCCAGCAGGAATCCTAATTGGTGGCAGCGGCCTACTGAGTTCCCCAACTGGTACTTTCGGAGGAGGTGTTGTCGCTGGACGTCCCAGATGCTGAGCTCAGGGGCGGCCTGGTGGTACTCCAGCCGGTCAAAGCGGATGGTGGAGGCCATCATTTGCTCGGCCGTCATCTTGAAGGACAGAGTGACCAGCCGGCTGCAGTCGGCATTTAGGGCAGCAGCGGGAACCTGTGCGCAAACCAGAAAAAAATAAATATACTGAGGGTAGCCAGAGAGGCAGCAATAAGGGCAGCCTATAACCTGGTTCATCCAGAATGACGGCAACGTGGACAAACACTACTTACACTTCGAATTGGCAAAGTTGAACACATTTCAACTCAGACAATTCTAGCCTCAAAAATTCACATTCACCTGGAGTGGAAACTGCTCCCAATTTTGTTCAGTCCCAAAAATGTATCCCCCCTTTGAAATTTCATTTGATCAATTAATTGTTAAAATTGTGTTAAGCAGTTTCTACAATTTTCTTAAATCTGCAATCTCACCCCCTAAAACTAAATGAGTCCAGCACCCGATTTCACGAAGCGCTGCGACGTGTCGCAACTCGAGTTACGACGTGTAACATGTCGCAACTCGTATCTTCGATTTCACGAAAGTTGCGATGTGTTGAACGCGTCGTAAGTTCCTTGACAACGGCTTAAAACACGTCGCAAGTTAAGACGTGTCTAGTGGTCGTCGCAAAATAAAAAGAGTCATTTCTAAGCCAGTTTTATGCCATAAAAATTACATTAACGAGATTATAATACCGAGGCAATGTGTGTAAAGTTGTAAATGGAAAATTCATTGAATAATTATGAAATAGACCGGAATATTAGGGTTGAAATTTCAAAGTAGCTACACAGTCCACTGAGAGCTTGTTTTCCTTCAAAATTGCATCGCACGACCCCCATTTTGTTTTACGTTTTAACAAATTTCGAGCTGAGATCCGACGACTCTTTGTTGAATATCAGACGACTATTTACTGTACGCTGACTAAATACATAAAACAGTCACTGAGTTGTGCTATAAATACACATACGACGCGTCGCACTTACAACGTGTTTCGTGAAATGGATCGCCGGACGTGTCGCAGCTGCGACGCATCGTTGGGATACGACGCGTCGCAGCGCTGCGATGCATCGTAAGTTACGAAGAGTTTGATGAAATCGGGTGCAGAACCACAACTCTTTGCATGAGTAAGAAGAAACACACCAAAATCGGATATCAATACTGTACAGGAACTTAAATTCAGAGACAATAAGCCAGTTCAGTATTTCAACTGCGCATGTGCACAATGATATGGGTCACGGGTCATGCGGGATATTGGAACGTTTGGAAGGCGCATGAAAGCGGGCGCATGATTCTTGCGTGTAAAATACCGACAGAATGGGCGTGCGCGTAACATCGCGTAACATCACGTCAGCGATGTTATCCCAAATGACCTCGGTTCATTGAAATACCGAACTGGCTTATTACAAGGAGATATTCCAAAAAAGAATAACAATATCTGTGACTTACCAGTGAGTTGGCTCCGTGTTTGAACTCCTTGACGTCCTGCGGGTACGACTGGAAGGCCGGTACGTAGTCAGGAGTCTGCAGCCAGTCCCTCAGCGCGTCAGCAGGCAGGATCTCGTAGCCATACAGGATACCGGGACGGTTGGACGTGGTGAAGCAGGCCAGGAGGGACTGACGGAAGACGGTGAAGATGAGGTGGGGGTTGACGTAGGGCAGGAGCCTGGAGACAAATAAGACGTGATGACGTTAAAAGTGAGACGTCAACAAATAATGTAATTATAATAATTTGGTGCTTATGTAGTGCTTTATTGTAGGGTTTCCAAGGTCTCAATGTGCTTCATAGTCATTGCCCCAGTTCATCAGGCCATGAGACGAGTTTTGGCATCCATGGCAGCAGCTTGAGACCAGAGCAATCTGGTCTCTACCCTCACAGGTACCTATTTACCCTCCGGGGTCGAGAGAGGCAATTGTAGTAAAGTGCCTTGCCCAAGAACACAAACATACCATCGCTCATGAGTCGGACTCTGTATCCATTGGACCAAGGTACGCCACATAAATTTATTTTATAGAGAACATAGTCACATAGATGTGATTGTAAAAATGAGGTGTAGGTTTAAAACGATATTTTGTTGGTCTAACTTACCGATGGGTTCCTTTGATGACCATGTTGTCGGTCTTGAGAGGCGGACTCTTGAGATTCCAGATGTCGAAATCGTTGCCGTTGCAAGAGGCGACGACAAAGTTGGCTGACATGCACAGCACCTTGCCCGGCTCTGAAAATCACATCACAGTACAAAAAAATTTACATCTACAAATTGAGTATGATCAAGGAATATAGGATCATTTGCTTTTTGAGCATTTTGTTGGTTTCTAATGATACTACTCAAAATTGAAAGAAGAGTGTTCAAAACCGAACCTGTTGAAGTTTCAGCTCAGCAGATATTACAATTTTTGAGAAAACAGTGAAAAAACCATGCACAACTGTTTGATCACGGAAACTGATTTCATCAATAGCACTCTTTAATTCCAAAAATCAGTCAATTGACTGATCGTTGAAAATAACCTACATTCCTTGATTTCTTCTAAATGACAGCAAGCCAGATGGTGTAATTTCACGGGATGTTTGGTGCCAGTGTGATCTTTTTGATCATAATTTAGTAGGTTACTTTTGGGATAAATGCAAATGATCATATATACCTTGAAGACAAAATGCCAAGTTTGGAAATTTGAATGATGCCATGTACATCCTTTACAATTCATACTTACTGCATGACTCCAGGGACTGCAAGTGGTGAGTGACCTTGGGAGGCGTCGTGGTGACACTCCACACCAGATGATCCACATCGGCCGGGGATGACGTCACAGCGAGACGACCGTCGTCTGAATAAACGCAGCCGTCGACTGCTCCATTGTGGTTCTGTCAAATCAAAATGTTCACGTTTACTGGTTTACAGTAACACAATTCAAATGAAGTTTGTCTGGTAACCGTTTTATGCAGGGTAGGGAGTATGTCATGTATTTTCTAATTAAGCTTCTTTCATCATAAACAGCGCCCCCTAGAGTCCTACCTCGTTCTGTACAGTGATGTGTCTAGTGATGCTCGCCGTGTCCCAGATTCGCACTGTGCAGTCCTGGCTGCCCGTAGCCAGCAGTTCGTCTTCGTTGCGCGTCTCGCCGAAGTCTGCGGCTAGCACGGGGCCTTGGTGGCCCTGCAGGAGACACCATTCTAATGAGGGCTGGAGACGCAAGACCTATGGAGCATCACAAGAACAGTTGGTCGTTAACAAAGGAGTAGTCAGGCTCATTATGAGTCAAACACAAGACCAACGCAACATATCACACGTCCATCACAAGCCAAGCACATGTCGATCACAAGTCAATCACAAGTCCATCACAACTCAATCACAAGTTAAATCACAAGTCAATTTAATACACGTCAATCACAAGCCCATCACAAGACAGTCACAAGACAGTCACATGACAAAGACCCAAACTGGTTAAATTGCAGCATAATGCTTACACCTACCTTCAAGTCATTCTCTCCGCTGAGCGTCGCAATAAAGTCCAAGTTCTTGGACATGGCGCTGGGCCCCGTCTGGCAGGTCAGGGACAACTTGTGGCCCTGGGTCTTGGTGTTATTACCCTTGACGGCCCAGCGATACGTGCCGTTGGGTAGCACGCCCATCAGCCGCTTGCCGTCGCCGGAGAACTGCAGGTTGCAGTTGTTGAGCTGGGCTTTGAGGTTCTCCGTCTCGAAATGCTTGGTGTCCTTCAGAGAGGGCGGGGGTGGGGGAAGGAGGGTGTCAAGAAAATTTGAATGTTAATGTCGGAGTTAGGTACATATTACTCCTGGGTGAAGAGAGGCAATTGCAGTAAAGTGTCTTGCCCAAGAACACAAGCACTGTGTTCCCTGTCAGGGTTCAAACCCACGTACAACGACTTGAGTCAAACACCGTAACCACTGGACCATGGGGCTCTTCTAACTTGAGAATCATATTCTACCTTCATGAATGAGACTTGATAAAAATAAAAGCTATTTTCATGGATGGGAACAATGTTTTTAGAAACAAATGTAAAGACGGAAAAGCAGCACTTACTGTTTCTTTGGCCATGTCCCACAGAAAGACATCCTTGTAGGCGATGGCAAGCAGTTTCCCACCGGACGTGAAGGCCACAGCTTTGGGACGACACTGTGGATGTAAAATCGAAAGAGACTTTCAGGCTTTTAATAAACTGAAAATGCATTTAAAACAGTTACAAAGTGTAAGCCTAAGTAGTTAACATCTGCACAAATGCCCTTTACTTCACTGATTTGTCATTGGACAAATTATATATAACACCATACCTTGAGCTCTTTTTTCTGCACCAATTTGCCGTCGTTTGTGCTGTAGACGTTCAGTCGGCCGAAAGCCACGACGTAGATGTGCCGGTTGGTCTTGGGAATATACACGCTCACCTGCTGCTCAAGCTCTATCGGGATTTGCAGCACAAATTTGCCTGTGTAAAAAAAAAATCAGACAATTATTTTCAATATCAATTTCCAGATTATTTTTTTATTGGCCATATCCATATCAGGTTCACAGCATTGCTGTAACGTGACTAATGTGACTTTTAGTGTGTCTCACAATTTCTGAAAAGCGATTCTAGAACATTGACACTGACAAACTGTCAGACCGGAAAATACGGCTAGTGGATAGCTCAGTTCTAGAGTGCCAATATAGCATTCTGGAGGGTGCAGCTTCGAAACCTGCCATGTAAAGTTTTGTTTCTTTAAAGGAAAACCTCTTTAAATTATATAGTAGTAAAAACACTCAGCTTTGTATAATTTGAAAAAAAATTCACAACTCTACAACAAGTAGCCAACAAAGTATACAAAAGATAGAGTACCCGGACATTTGAGGGAAGAAATAGAGAGAAAAAAATGCCAATTTTAGATGTGGAAGGACAATCCCAGCAAGTTCATTTTCAGAATTCTGCAGAAGAAAGCAAGCAGGGACTGACTACTCCAACAAACAAAGTGCCTCAATCATTCCAAGCAACCCACCTTTAGCGTGGCCTCCCTGACCCAGACCCAGTAAGTTAACGCCAGTCTTCTCCATGACAGCCAGCCAGTGGCAGTGGGTGGGGAACGCCATCTTGATGGGGTCTGCTTCGGCCGTAACCTCCAATGCTCCACTGGCAACCTAAGAGCAGAGACACAGTAAGTAACCCTTTTAGTATCGATCCCTGCAGTGCTGGGGTGGGAGAGGGGTAGGGAAGGGGTGGGGTGGTTGGGAAGGGTGAGGAAAGTTGGGAGGGGGGGAGGCTGGGGTTTGTGAATTTCAAACCTGGTCCTCAGTAGGGTTTAGTTACTTGGAAGTATCCCTCAGGGATGAGATTGGGAGAAAATGAAAAATCCATGAAATAATCTGCAGAGGGTTATGAGGGTCGTCGAGAGCCCCAGAGCAAATTTAGGTTGTATTTTATATGTTTGTATTTGCCTAAGGCACTCCTTAAAATACACATTTCTTTTGTCCTTTACAGTAAAACCTCAGCAATTCCAGATTTCAAAAGGGATACTTTATAAATCCTGAACTGAGGGAAAGTCCCGACCCAAAAAAATCTTGAAATCAGAAAAAATCCTGACAAATCTCACCCCTGATCCTTAGCCTTTCAATATCCTTCATCATCCTCCAGGAGTTTTAACAAGGATCTTGCAGGATTGAGGAAGGTAGCACCCAGCCACTGTGAGGCTCAATACTTCTTTCATTTCTATTTCTCTTAACATTTCATTTACTTTTGATTTAAACGTCACACAAGAGAACTTGACAACAAGCACTACAACTTACCCTCCACACCCTCACGGTGCGGTCTTGGCAAGCCGTGGCCAGATATTTGCAGTTAGAGGAGAACTGGACGAGCCTGACCGGAGCAGTGTGGGTCAGCGTCATGATCTCGGCTTTCTCGTTCTGATCCTTGGACAGATCCAACCACGTGAACACTAAAGAAGAAGAAAACAAATTTCCTTGCCAATTTCCTCGCAAGTTTCATCGACTATAATCCACTCAGAATATTCGTATTACCCCTCGATAGGATGCCAATCCAACACAGTTACTCCCCAGCCGGTACCCATTTACATTCATGGGTAGTGAGAGGCAAGTGTAGGTAAAGTGGCTTGCCGAGGGACACAACACTTCGCCAGCGGCTGGATTCGAACCCCAGACCCTCTGATCATGAGTCAGCTAATGCCAGTACCAAATTTATACCCCAGAGAGAAGAGAGGCAAGTGTAGATAAAGTGGCTTGCCCAAGGACACACAACATATGGCCAGCAGCTGTATATGAACCCCCGACCCTCTGGTAAAGTCAGAAACCCTAACCATTAGGCAACATTTCCTTGCTCTAATTATTTTTATTACTGATTTTTCAAAGGCAAATCACAAAAATTGAGTCGGAATTTTGCTCACTGTTTTTGCCTCGTACGGCCAGGTACTCCTTGGCCACATTTGAGCATGTCGAGGAGTCCGGCTCGTTCAGTGCTTGCTGGCAGATCAGCTCAGGATACTTCTGAATGATGGTCACGTTGGATCGCACCATCCGGTAGAAATCCTTCAGTTTGTTGCTGACCAGCTCGCTCTTGTCGGCAGCCTGTCGAAAAAGTCAAAATATTTGCAATTTTTTTTAGGATTTCCTGGGTGACATTTCAAAACTGGGATTTGTACCTGGGTTTTTGTTCATCTCTTGACTCAAGAATGGTTTGGGAGAATGTAATTAGAAATTAGCGAACACTTTTCAGACTCTAAACTGACTCTTTAACTTGTGACATAGCCTGATTGTTCGTTGGCGATGAGATCTGGGCAGTGCTGTTTTATAGGATTACCCCGCACTGGGCAAAACCCTGCCCACCATGGAGACCAGATGCATGATAAAGTTTCCGGCGAAAAGCGATTCTGATAAAATCACTTCAATACTATTTTGTGCACCGTTACAAGGCGTGCCTTGTCGTATTTTACTAACAAAATGTTGTTCGGAGTTTTTTTGGGGGGGAGGGGGTAAAATGAAGTCAGATAAACTACCAACCTCTGCCAACTCCAGGAGAAGTTTGTAGATACGTCCTGTCCGGCATTTTGCTTCAAGCCAAGGTATTGAACACATCTCCTGTTATATCAACAACAAAAAATCAGTCTTTTGATCGGTTCAGAATTACACTTCTTCAAAACCACACGACAGAAGTTTGAACTTCAGTTGAAAATTGGGCTGGATTTAAATGAGGCTGAACTTATCATGAAAAATCACCATGGCAACGCACCATCTCACACTCTTCCCACAGGTTGCCGCGTACGAGATGCCGTGGCAACTCCGTCAGTTTTCTGAGGTTCCAGTGAACTGTCTTGGGCTTGGCACCGGCCCCGATGTCTGCGAAGGACTCATGCTGGCCGGCTGAGGCGGAGTTAAGGATCAAGGGCTGGGATTGGACGCGACGGTGGGCAACGGCAACCTTGCCTGAATCTTTCTCTGTGTAGGGCTTGGGGGTGTCCGCCCACCTGTCAATAATACAAAAGGGCTCAACTGTATGAATATTCATGTTCATGAATCTCAATTCATCTTACTGAATATTCATGAAGCTGAATAAGTGTGTGTGTCAAATTTTACCAGAAATTTCAATCTCTGTACACTGACCTGCCGAGGAAGTACATGGCAAGGGCCTGGTGTAGCAAAGTTGCTGAATCCAGGTACATCTGTCTGGCCGTCTCGTAGAACAGTCTGTGATACCAACGGTAAACCACCGAGTTATCCACACCGCCTTCAACCAAGTAGTCACCTTGAAAGAGGAAGTGCCAAAAACTCATAAATAACTCCAACCTTAAATAAATTACAAGACAGGATAATTTATGTTCTAGCTGTTGGATTCAGGATCTCCACACACTGTTTCTATTTCCCCTTTGGCACATAGATGACACTAGTGCCCTCGCTACCAGTCAATATTTGTATATTGACTGACACTGTAAAGAGAGTAGACTATGTTCAGCTATGTGCCTCTTTCCACGAGTGACTACGAGAGTGTTCTATTTTACATACACAGATGCTAGTGCTCTCACTATCAGTCCATATTTGTATTTATTGACTGGCACTGTAAAGACATTTTAACTATGAGTCGGTCCATATTTGTATATTGACAGGCATTGTAAAGACATTAATGTTCAGCTATGTGCATCTTTCTGTGAATGCTGAAAGAGTGTTCTATTTTCACTTATAGCAAATAGACAGGGCACTAGTACACTTGTTGCCAGTTAATATTTTTATGTGGCACAGACGCTCACCGAGGTCCAGCCGTAGTCGCGTCCACAGTAGCGGCGGCAGTCTCCGGATTGGTGGAATGTGATACTGGAAGACATCATCCAGCACAACGTCGTCACATGACAGGACGTCGATGAGCTCACTGGCTGACAGGCCTGAGGTTGAGGCAGTTAGGTAGCCTAGAGCGTGACGTACAAAGATCTCACCATGTTTGATTTCTAACCTGCACAGCAAGAACAATTCAAAGCTTTGAAATATCAGGGTTTTGTAAAAACAGGTCACGTTCAAATCTGACCACACTGGCTAGCCAAGATCAAGTTTTATGGAGAAAAATGGTTGACAAAATTTTATTTATTCTGACCAGACCCTTGCTGGTTGACGATGATCGGACTAGTCTTGTCGACAATTGGCGACAGCCATTTTCTGAGGTGGCACCTGGCTCGCACGATTCACACTAAGGTAGTACGCATGCACTCCAGAATCCTTCGACCGAAAGGGGTTTGCCAAGATGCGCGCACCTTGTCTTTAAGAATGCACGCTCCGTCTTTAAGAATTCAGGTTGGTTGCATCACTGGTTACCAATAGCCAGGTGCATCATAATACACAGCAGGGAGCCAGGACCATTAAGTTTTGTGATGACATTTTGACTATCGTTTGACGAGAGACGTTCGCACGTTACTATTAGTTCAAGTAGTGAGCAGGCACAAATTATGTCAAGAATCAACCACTAGTCTACAAATGGTCCTCCATCGAATTTGCTCTTAGCTGTATTCACAGAAGGCACTGTTGTCCATGGCTACGACTATGTACTGCAGCATGCCAATAGCAGCAAGTGAAGCCGTATCCATTGACTTAATTCAGACACTGAGTTAGCCTCAACACTTACTGCTTGAACAACTGCCTAATCAGACCCGGCGTACTGTCGGCTAGTTTACACTCCTCCATGGGTGTGTAAGACCGCCACCGCATGGCAATATCGCAGGCCAACCTGGTAAACAAGGGGGTCGGGTCGTTGTCGTGGTGCGCGTTGAGCACCAGTCTCTTCTGGTCTGGTTGCAGCCTCCTGCCGGCCTTGCTCAGCATCATGTCTATCAGGCTGTTCTGATCCTGCTCGTCTAGTCTCTGGACTTCTAGGTAGGACTCCTCATGCTTTGAGACGAAAAAGAACAAATGGCCAGACAAAAATTATGACAAAGTGTCTTGCCCGTAGACACAAGCCCCCTGATTTCTTGGCAAGGTTCCAGCCCATAATCTGCACAAACAACCAGGGTCTTACTTTCATAACTCTATTAAACTTACTCTGTAAGCAAAATATCTCACCAAACTTTAAGTAAAATATTCTGAACTTTTTGTACCTTGACAATGTTTTTCATGGCCGACAGAGCACCCCCGGCGTTGGGTCGTATCGTTACGATGAGATGGACATGTTTGGGTAGGGCGGGCCTGAGCCAGTGGAGGTCGCGACCTTCGTTCTCATTACTGAGCTGATCCAGGGAATCCAAGAAGATCACTGCAAATTAAAAAAAAAATGGTGGTATTTTAAAGGTTTTGAACGATTAAATGGATTTTTTTATTTTCTGTTGTAATCTGGTCTCACTTTAAAATGTTTTTTTTTCTTTGACGATTACAAAATAAGTCACAGTTCAATGGTTATTCCTCGGTAAATTTTTCTTGTTGGAGTCTGCCAGAGTGAGTGACAAAAACAGTGCCGGAGTGGATGGGGGTAATGTGTGGTCTGCTCAAATGAGCTCAATGTAGCACTGATGCAATATTCAAATACAAGCATGAGATTACATCTCCCAACCCTGAAAAATGTTCTTCATTTTGTTTAATCTTCAATTGTGCCTACTCACTGAAAGGTTTTTCTGCGGTCGCCCTGGCGAGCAGTTGATGAAACCTCTTCTCAAGGAGTTTGTAGTCAGTCGGCACAGAGTCCTGATCCAGGTTAAGGCAGTAACTCAGCTAAGAAAGCAAGATGAAGACATATCAGGAAAGGGGGTCAAAGAGGGGATAATAAGCAGACTCAGGGCGGGGTCACGTTCCAATGATACAATTTGGTTAAAAGTTGCTACCTATTTTAACAGGATTGGATGAAAGATGGAAAAAAAACCCCAAAAACACTTACTTGTAAACAGATGAAGTAGAGCAGGTCTCGGATGTTGGAAGAGTGGGGGGTAATGGCAATGAATCGCATCAGTTGAACGGGTCTGTCAATATAAAAATACATGCAAATTACAATAAATAATCTTCTATAAATACATTTTGAGTAACCCTTGGGAAATAAAAATAGTGCAACTATATTTCAAAAAGAAAGCCAAAACTACCAGCCACTTGAAAGGGTGCCAAGGCTGAAAAAAACTAACCAAAAAAAAGGCTGCTTCTAAAACTTGCTTGCGAAGAGAAAAACAAGGGGCCCAAATTGAGGGCACATTAGGAACAGTTTGGAACATAAATATTCCATTGAGGGAACATTTGCATATTTACACAGGCCAACCCTGTTCAAGAAGACAACTTACTGGGTACGCCACATGTTCCCACTGGGTAAAGTAGCATGTTCAATAAAAAAAAAGCACTGCTCCCTTAACAATGCCCATCCTTAGGCATAAATCAAGTCTGAATTTTTAGTTTACCTTCCTAGTTCACAACCTTTCCAGGATTCCAGAGATCGACTGATGACCTTAGCAAGGAGGGAGGACTTGCCGCTTCCCCCGCAGCCATGTACCACGAAGGGCTGCAGAGACAAACACACCAAAAACCAATGGTAAATGACTGAAGTGGGATTCGAACCTGCAACTTCTTCAATACCGTACCAGCGCTCTACCAACTGAGCGAGTCAGACCAATAAGTTGGCAGCCTCAAAACTTGCTAATGATTTTGTCCTGGTTGGTTTGAATTTTTATGGCATTTTTTTTTGTATGAAAACATCCGAGCTTGTACAAGAAGCATGACAGACTGACGGAAGTATTAGTGAGATGTTTGAGTGAGCTCACTAACCCTTTCGCCGTGAGGGCGCTTCAGGTATGCCATGACACTCCCGATCAACTTCTCGCGTCCCGCGAAGAAATCTGCTCTCTCGCGGCAGAAGATGCTGTGACTGATAACCTCGGAGTAGAGAGGATCGTCCAAGGCACTCGCTAAGTTCACGGCACCTGAGAAAAAAATTAAAAATTTCAATTAGAGTGACTTGGATTCGAACCACAGACAATTAAAATACAAACTCTGATGTACAATCTTGGGGAAGGTTACATCAGTGGCGGGTTCAATTTTCAGGCAATTTTTCTTTCTTACCTCGGTGGATTGATTTCACGAGATAGTCGCAGAAACGATCCAAGAAATTTCGCAGGTTGTCTTTGTTCCTTTCGTCGTTGAACATTGCGTCGGCGCTCGGCGAAAAGTGGAGGTTGTACCTGCAGGAAACAATGTCAGATTGCAGAATATTTCATTCAACAAATTTTTATAATTGACAAAGCTTTTGTTTCTTTTCTGAAGATTAGGGATTTGAGAGAACCAAGGAATTCTGAGAGATCAAGAAAACACACTTTTCATTTCTGTCATCGCTGGTCATGTTTTCAATTCTCTCGGTCAGGTTGTCCAGTTTCATCAGGGCCTCCGAGTCCACCCGGTCCCCGTCCCAGTCCACGTAGTATTTGGCGCCGGACATCTTCAGGTTGAAACCCGTGAAAGACCGGGTGAAGAAGTGAAACCGGGAGTGGCCGGCCGAGTGGTGACCCTCGATGGCTTTTGCGATCTCGCCCTCCGTGATGGACCGCAGGATCTCCTGTTTGAGGTCGGGGTCATTGACGATCTGCTTGACCGCTGCGAAGAAGGCCGCCCTCATGGCGCAGAACTCCGTCCACCAATTGTCGCGCTGCTTCGGGTCGTTGTTGTGGTTCGGGAACTTCCAGACAATGGGTTGCATGACGTATTCGCAATCTGCGACGGAGACAAGAAGTAACATGCTAACTTAAAAAACTCTGATTTTGAACAAAGCCTAGTTTCGTCTTTAAGTCTTTACATTGATTGAACATTTCTGTTGGCTTAAAAAATGGTGCCCACTATCTGACACAAGACCAATGTAAGCACTTCCTGTTTGCCTTGTTCAATCTTGGGTTCGCCTTTGCCAAAGTAATTTCATAAGCACAATACTCAGCGCTGTCTGAGGGATTAGGAAGAAAATTCACAAGAGCGGGACTTTAACCTGTAACCTCCTGCTTACTAGTGCAGACGTCTCCCACTCGACCACCAAGCTTGTCAGGGTCAGCTGGCTGGTTTGAATTGATATACATGTAGCAGCAGGTCCAACAACCAATCATAATTTTGAACGATGAAGTTTTTTCTCTCAGGAGATGTAAATTCAACCTTACACAAATTTCCATCTTACCAGCAGAGTTAGTGTCCAGACGAAACCACTCCTTCATGAGCCGCAAAGCTTCGGCCTGTTTGCTGTCGGTTTCAGCTTGTCGTCCAATGTACCCAATGAGCGGCTCAAATATTGCCTGGGGCACGCGGTACGGGATCGGCCGGTAGCCGTACTTCTGGCCGAGGATGCAGACGAAAAACGGACCCACAGAATGCTCCCTGGAATGGAATAATGAACAACGAAAAATCTCTTCAAACAATGGCCTAAAGATTTTTGTCGGTTTGTACAAGTCTATAACAATTATTCTAATAACAAAACTTTTCAAACTGCTGATTGTACACATATTGAAACATATTTGAAAGTTACCTGACATCTTGTATGAAAAAAAATGGAAAAATGAAAGAAACAACAATTTTTGTTCAAAATCAGTTGAAATAGTGCCGGGGGGGGGGGGGGGGGGGGGGAGAGGGGGAGGCATGGGGTGTTTCATATCTCCTCTATGACCATGCAAACTGAGAACAAGGATTTAATATGTAATCATTAAAACAATCACTGCATGTGTATATTTACACGTAGCCTAAAGTAAAGGTTGCGTAAGATTACAACTTAAGTATAATACACGGTTACAGACTACCGACATGCTATAAAACTTGGATATAAAAGTCATAAATGGTATTTTCTCAAGGCTGTCTGTCTGCAGTCACAATGACACTCATTCTTATTGGTCAAAAAAAAAATCCAACTAAAGTCGACATTACAGATGTTATGTACAACTACGCCCTGGTCCCAACTTAAGCTGGGACCATACTATTTTTAGTGTTCTAGCTGGGGTACTGTAGTTGGGCCAGTCCCATCTCCACTTTGGACCATCCTAAACTAGCAAGCAATGATTGTATCCAATGATAATTTGGTTGGAAACCTTTTTTTTTTTTGGTAAAGCAAATATTTTCGCGCTTAGTACCAAATGATTCTGCGCTTACCAGCGCCACAAAATAAGCCTCTAAAATGAGCTGGAAAAAACAATCCTGAAATTTTGTAAGCTTTTTCTGTTTTGGATGGAAATCAAGAATAAAATTGTACCTGCATCTTTCCACCTCATCTAGACAGATCTCACTAGCCATGTGAGCATCGCACATCGTCTGTCGTATTCCCCACCTCATATCGACGGCGTTGAAGGACAGTCCAATCAGACGGGCATACTCACGGACGAACGGATACACGTCCTCCATCAGTAAATTCCTCTCCAGTTTCATGTCCGTGAATGTGGAGCTGATGAAAACCCAAACTTCTCGGGCGTTGCGCTTTAGGTGAATCCCGGCGGCCTCACCGTGCATGACCGATCGGTAGTCCGTGCCGGACTCCGCCCCCCGGGCCCCGCTTCTGGCGCCGGCATCCCGGATCCCACTGCGCTCTTCTTCGATCTTCTCCCTGGCTTGGAGGAGCAGCGTCTTCCACGGCTCACGCTCGCTGCGAGTGTTTTTCCACAGCCGGTTGGCCTGGCCGCCCTGCATGCGCAGCACGGCCATGTGGGTGGTTCGGATGTTGCCAAATTTCTGCCAGGCCTTGTAGCGGCTTTTGGTGGGCGCAGGAAGGGTTATTCCTCCCTGGCCCATGGTGCCCGCACCGTTACCCATCGCTTCAACGTCAAATTTGTTGTCACCTAAAAAACATCATCAATCGTTCCATAGTAACTCTCACTTTGCTCTGAAGAAGTATTTAACTCTACGTGTACCTCCACAACATTCAGAAGATGTTTACAAAAGGAATGTTCCAGTTGTTATTCAAGTTCAAGCACTGTTTCCGAAATAGCATTCATGAACAATTTTCCTCAATTCATCAACAAATTAGTGAAGAGAATGTTTCCTCTGCTAGTCGAAATGCTTGATTCCATCTGATATCTAGGCAATTTAAAAGAAAAGGAAACCAAAAAAAATTACACCACCATACTTTATGTTTGTTTCAACTACTCTACGTATAATTTTTATCTCCGAGAACACCACAATAAATTGCTACATCACCTTGATAACAGACAACAATTAACCCCTAAACTATTGTTTGCAAATTTATTCTGTCTGTCCCTTGAGGATCGGAGTAAATAAACCAACAACAGAAGCACTTTGCAAATCTCGTCATGGATACAGTCTGTAAACAAGATTATTATCAATCCACCATAAAAGATTTCAGCTGGCAAATTTATCTGAACTGTTCATTCACACACACGAAGAACACTGCAACTTGTTAATAAGTTATGGGCAGACAATAGGCAGTTTCTCATAATGTTAATACACCTGCTGATTGCAACAAGTGGTTTTGTCAATTTTTTTTAATATGTCAACGAAAGGTAACGATTTGGGTAACAATTGTTGCCTAGTTATAATATTCACGGGGGATTAACTTTGGATTACGCAGGGGGTGGCGCATTCCTGCATTCAAAAGATTAAGAAACATTCCTAGGCTGAATTGAGGCAAGTTTCTGGAAACCTATTTTTAGAATAAGATTGCACGAATCAAACAGATTAATTTTTTTATCTACTATGGAAAGATTCCCATATCTGGCCATCACTAATTTGTCCCTTCAGTGACCTATCACTATCAGCCAGCAGAAAAGGATAATAGACCTATGTCCTAAAAAAAATCAAAATTAGCAGGGAAAATATTTTTACTGAGAAAACACCTAGAAATGTTCAGACCAGTCTCATACGGTTTGCAAGCAGGGTGACAAGTGATGGCCAGATATGGGAATCTTTCCCTAATTCGATGCACATATTTTATAGAGCAAGGAACAGATGGTTAACTTTATTTAACGATATCATGTAAAATTGTAATTTGGAAATATAAAGAAATTCAGTCAAAACATGATTCAATTTCATTAATTGACTTTATGATGCAACACACTCGACAAAAGGACAATAACTGCACATGATAAACTAGTTAAACCTCACTTATTCAATACTGCATTACAATGGTTTTCAACAACACTTTGACTTACTAATTTGGTGAATCCAACAAATAAAAACTCACTGTAGTAGATTTCTGTTCTCGTACTCACAGGAACAGGGCCCGTATACAATCGCCATCTCTAAACCCAATACCAAGCCCACTGTTTTTTTAATAAATTTTATTACCTACCTGGTTTACTGTAGTGTACTTAGTTGTGCACAATCATGGAGCTGAATGATCAACAAAAACATAAAGAAGGAACGATTTCGGTTCACTAAAACGATTTCCCAAGTGCACACACGAATTCTCGCTTTACTCTAAATTCTAGCAAACACAGACAAGGAGTTATTTTTAACCAAACACACCGGCTTTTCTCTGATATCGATCCGGCCCATCACGTGTAGTGCATGTACACATCGCCTGTTTCCAACATAGTGATCATACTGTTGTACGGCAACAGGGTACTGCGCACGCGCAGATCAATTAACGGTACCCTGGCTAACAAGTAGCAAATGCTCAATGAATTACGTAATCGACAGCTATAAACTGGTCTTGCATAATGTACGTCCTTGTTGTGGTAACTTGAAATTACTGCAATTAGGGCCCAATTAATTATTTCTTTATCTTTGATTTGTATGCTATGAAGCAAATGCTATATGCGCGTGAAAGATATTTTGCAAAAAAAGAATGGTCAAAGCAGAATATATACGAGAAATCATAGTTTGCATATAATTTTTTTTTAATGATTTTGTTGACATTTTGGAAAAATATTAAAGAAGTTTCTTACAGTTATTGCGTCGCACGATACATTTTTCTTTAGCGAAAACGGGTAGCTAGTCAAAAGAATCACGCAATGTATATTCTGTTCCTTGCTCTATGGCATATATCATGCCCCTTACTTTTATTTTACCAAAACAACCCCAGAAGATTAAACATTAATATTTGTTAAAAAAGAAAATAAACAATTCAATGCACACTGGAAATATGATTGTCACTCAATTCTTTATTGCAATTCCAATCCAGGGAAAATTTCTTTCCACAAAAAGGTTCTCACCTAAATAATCAAACTAAAATGGATAATAACAATAAAAAGGTTTTCAGCAGAAAGTCATCATAATTTTTGTTCAAGTTATTATTATTATTACACAATGCGAACAAAATGTTCATCTTGAGATACCCAAAAGCCACAAAAAGCATTCAATGCAAGTTGTCGCCCAGTAAATAAAATGAACATTTTAGTCATCTTGAAAGTTTTAAGAAATTACATAAACTTCACTGAATCTTGAAATCATTTGTCCGTAAGTTTTTAAAAATATGCTTAATCCTTTTTTTTCCATTGACCAAAAGTACTAAAGTACTGATAGTATCAGGACCACGCTAGCCTACAGTACTATAAGTGAAATGAAAATATATCTACAAGAAAAAACGGTCCGAAAACCTCATGCATAATTCACCACAAAAATTTACATATTTGTTTATTCATCAAGACACATTCCACGGGAGAAAAATTTCAAACAAAATCCATTTTTTCCCCTTTTCAAATGTTAACTCTATAAGCAAGAAACAAAAAAATAGTTTTTAGTATTCTATATCTTAAAAAGTTAAAATAACTCTTGAAAATTCTGTAACTGAAGAGAATGGCTTTCAAATATTTTAGTGTAAAATAACAGGGCGTAGAAGAGCTTAATATGGCAAAATACGTACATCTGATTTAGTGTTCCAAAGGTATGGCCGCAGCATCAAAAGAGTTACAAATTGAAATCACTACTTTTTTTTAAATAAACACACCACCTATTTTATAATCATTGATGGTAAAATGGGAACTGCAATTCCATTCAAGAAACAATATGGCTTTGGGAGGCGACCATAAAAAATTGAGGTTGAAATATTGCTTATCATTTTTCTTTTGTTTGTGATTTTAAAGTCCAGCTTAACAGCTATGATCGAGCTGTTCATGAGAATGAGTGAAAACAATACAAATTTATTTTCTGAGTTATTTATTTTCTTCAATCGCTTGCTTTTCTAAGTGGTAAATAAAACACAAAATAAAAGCTACTAAAAATTCTCATTTTATAATGATAATTTTGTGTGTGAAGATTTGGCCTCCCATGCCCCTCCTACCCCAAAGGAAACTGCAGGTTTTCTTTCACTGCCTTCCAGAGCAAAAACAAAGTTTGAAAAAAGTTGAACTTAATATAAGCACACATGCTCTATACTTTTGTCACCTACATAACTTCTCATTGTAAGCTGCCAAAATTTGTAAAACAAAAACAACAATATAATCAATTTTTACAAATCTAAAAAAAAATCCCCCAAACAGAATGACAAATACGTGAAAAGTACAAAGAAATCTTTGTACCAAATTTCTTTGTTCTTGTTAGACAACTAGCAGCCTAAATCTATTAACTAAAGAATTTCCCCAATTTCGCAGAACTGCTTATAAAAAATGCTTAGTAAAATGTGGGTACCGGCCAATATAGTATACCTTGTGGTATAGCTGGTAACCAAACACGCTAAGCTCTGAAAAGTGGCTAAGCAATTCTGTGAAATTGGAGGTTAACAAATTGTTCTTTCCACAACATCCAAAAAATGCAAGACACAGTGCCTCTTGCTCGTAAAATTTGCATAAATTAGTCTTCCACCCTTGAGGAAGAACGATTTGAACTCTCAAATAATTTACATGCAAACTTAGTTCCCATTCAAAGAAAATTAAATTGTTCTACTGACCACAATGCTTGCAGATAATTTGAGCATTTATTTCTCTTAAAGTCGGTTCATTTATTAGACTCTTAAAATTGACAAAACAAGGGAATTAAGGAAGTATAGATTTAAGTACTGTGTAACTACTCAAGTAAAAGTTTTGAAAATTGTTTCAGTTGCAGATATCATAAAGTCACTTTTCCAAACAACAATGAAGAATTTATTGACCCGAGTTTTGAGTTTACAAAATCCCGCAAACACGAGTTTCTGATGTTCATGAAAACTTGAATACTACATAGATGCTTATACAAAGTTACAAACAGTTTTTGGAAATAAAAACTTGTATAATACAATACAGAATAAGATGTGCCTGTATTTAATCTTTTTTTGGAAGAATTGCAGCTCATCTGCATATTTAAAAACTAAAAAGTCCAATCGAAGTGAGTGATGCAATGGGAATAACTTCATAATTAAAAGTCGTAGTAAGAAACCATCTTTTACTTAATACCACTTTTAAGGAGCACAGTCAGACAAATCAATTTCCTTTGAAAAACAATTAATTCCCAATAACCCGTTAGTCCCTGTACTACCTTGAACCGCCCTGCCTGTTACTCCCTGTAATGTCCGCCAATGGACCAGACGAATTGGTTCACACTGTAATACAATGTAATACAATGTATTACAATGTAATACAATGTAATACAATGTAACACAATGTAAAACAATGTAATACAATGTAAAACAATGTACTACAATGTAATACAATGTAATACAATGTGGTACAATGTAATACAATGTAATACAATGTAACACAATGTAATACAATGTGGTACAGGTGCTAATGGGTTAATAAAACAATGGACAATTAATGTTGAAATGATGTTTTACCTTCTGTCAGATAGAACTATTTCAATTCCATAAATCAACTCTTCGAATGAATAATGAGACAGCAGTTACCATAAAACTGAACACAAAAAATGATTTATTTTCACACCTTCATAAATTTTCATGCGGGGTTGTGCTTAACCTGTTCGCGCCGTGGGCCGTGTATACACGCACAAGTTTTGCGGTATTCAGAAAGGATGACAGATAAACACACTGGGGGCGAGACTGGAAATATCTGTCAGCGACCCGCTTGCCGGGAGTGAGGCAGAGAATATATATGAATGTGCTGCCCGAGGGTGATGGCTTCAACCCGCCTGGCTTGAGGTCGAGTGAAAAATAATCCCGCGCCTCGTTCAGTTCTTGTCAAATAATCCCAGCGTGAACTGGTCAAAACAATTCTTTAAATAAACAAGTCTTAATTAAGGTCGACATGATGACACTTTTGACCAATTTTTAGTAAAATTCTAAAAACTTACTTTAATATAATTGTAATGTTTTTGGGAGGGAACACTAGCATAAATGAGACAAGCATTTTCATCAATGCTAGAGTGTTCCTGCATAACAGAACGCAAGTTTGCATAAAAGTTTTATTGTTTAAAAACACATCTATATTATATAACTACTCTCTATATTTACACTACTCGTTAATTAGTCTATTTCAGAACACTAACCAGCAATAAATACAAAGTGGGAAAACAAAGGGACCCTTTGTTTGATATTAACGAGGAATTTTCAAAACCAGAGTTGAGCAGAATCTGGAGAGGTAAACTCTTTAATTAAAAAAAAAATGCATTGTCTATGATAAAAAGGGAAAAAAATTGCCGAAAAGGTCACTAGGAAAAATCACATTGATAAATTTTGAAATGAGCCTCAAAAACCATTCATGCTTTACACATAAAAAACCTTATGAAACAACATAATAGGTACAAATCATTGTCCTTGTAATATCTCAACAGGTAATTTTTAGTTCTTGGGAATTTTAACAAGACAGGAAAATGAAGCGGTATTTTAAAAAATCTTTTGTTAATTTTTTTTTTCTTTTCTGGGTTTCACAGCACTTCTTTCAATGGACTGACATGATTTTAGATTGTGTTGCGTAGATCTGACATAAGAATTCAGTTTCTATTATTTTAATTATTTTTTTTTGTATTAAAATACATTATTTTGCTGTAGCAGCATTCTCATTCCCTTGCATATTCTTTTCATTTGGGAAAGAAAACCACACCACGTAACAAATTCTTGGGCTAATTTCTTAAACTCAGCAAATCTAATGAACGTATTGTAGGAAAAAAATACACTAGCTTGTGAAAGCTACATCAGACAACCATTAAAATTATGACAAGAGGTATAAATTAACTTATCTTTTAGCAAACTCTGGGGAACGTGCCAGTAAAATTTGCCAACTTTCACAGCTGTTCAATTACAATTACTGTTATTTTTTTCTTATTATTTATAAGTTTAGTCGGTCAATCTTTTTCAAACTATTATTCTCCATCTCAAAAAACCACACTGATTTTACGATTTTAAAGCCGGTGAGACAAATTTTTTTTTAATTCAGGGAAGGGTTTGAAAATCCCATACTTGAAGGAAAAACAGAAATTGCAGCCAAAAAACGTAAAACCTCAGGTTTTTGTTTTGTTCTGTTATCGGTCGTTTCCCATCAGCCCTGGGCACAGTTGGGGCATACGATGTCCTGGCCGTCCATGACGAAACACTCATTGACCAGCGACACCTGGCACTTCTGGCATTGGAAGCAACTGTTGTGCCAGTTGCGATCCTCGAAGCAGACGTACGTCGTGCTTCCCTGGCCTAAATTCAGACGAAAGAAGGGTCGGGGAGGAGAAAAAGTGAAGAAAGAAAAAAGACGTCAAATTATTATCTCGGGAAAAAAAAACTTATTTCATTAACATATGGTCTTTGAATTCTTATCTCCACCTTTCCTAACCCTTCAAGTTCCACCAGAAGTTTTTCAAGGATTTTGTAGGATCGGGGAAGGCGGGTCTCTTTGAATGTAGCATTTTAACTTTCCCTTATCCTTCAAAATCTACCATGAGATTTTGGAGGATTTCCTAGAATTGAGGAACGTAGAGCCCTGCAAGTTCATTTTACATGAGGCTTGATTGCCCCTTGGAACTTTAAGGGATTGAAGAAGGTTCGTAGCTATAACTCCTTGGTATCTAGGCAGTATCTTTGATGATTGTGTCCTTGGGCAAGGCACTTTACTCCAATCACACCTCCAAACCAAGGAGCGCATGGGTACCTATGAGGGTGAAGTCGGTTACTTCAACCTCAATGCCAGTATGGATAACAGCAGCTCTATTTTTATGGCTCTAGTTGCAAGCCAAACAAGGCGGGAGAAAGAGGCATGATTTTTCAATAATTACAAAGGTTACAAAATGGTTAAGAAAACAGCAGCACACTCAGCTGATTGTACTCATAAAAGCTCAACAAAAAAACTTCAATTGTATTCGCTATCAAAACATATCATTGCACTTTGCATCAAATGTTTGGTCGTTTCCTCCATTCAAAAACAGAAAAACTACCTTCAAGAAAGAGCCATCTCTTAAATATAGTGCGAACATGCATTGTTTTTTTTTCTTCTTCCGTATTTGCTTCCTGGCACAACATCCTAATTTACAGTCAAAAACAAAAAGTTTTTTTTTGGGGGGGGGGGGGGCAGGTGCATTTTGAGGCACACAACACAGGAAAACCTTTACATTTTGGGGGAATGGTTAGCTCAACAAGAGAGGTAACACAATCTGTTTTGCAAGTGAAGTTCTTGGGACAGGAAAATGGAGGATTTGAACACGGGTTTAATACAAAACACTTCAAATACTTTTTCCACCAAAAATTAGGCATGGGCAAAAATAAACAATTAATAAAGCTCTTTACATTTAGATACACAGGGGGAAGCAGACGGGAATAACTCACAAAAAAGTGCATTTTCAGGCTGTACTTGTTATTTTACTTTTAGTATTTAAAAAAGTTTTCGCTTGGGATGTGTCTTTTTTTTAATTTGGAAGATTTTATTAGGGGGAGGGAGGGTATTACAGCCGGTTGGAAAATAGCTTGGGAGGAAATAGGCAGAGCAATTTCATAAAAAGACTTGTGCATTATTGTTGAGTAGGAAGTGGTTCATTCGACAAAAGATCAGAAATCTCATCTTTTTAAACAATTTCTCCAATTTGACAAATGGGATTTCAAAACTGGTGAGATTAGGCTCCTAGTTAGGAAAATAATTGCTATCGTTAAGACACACACAAGCCCTGATCATTACAGAGAGTGCTTTACTAAATGTATCATGCGTGAAGTTAGATATTTTGAAACTGTGATTTCAGCGACGTAACAAGAGTTAAACTTTTAGGGGGGCACCTGGACGCAGCAGTGTAGCATACCCATGAAAAAAAATCTCCCCCCCCCCCCCCCCCTGGAAATTTGGCAAACAGAGAAAATCACGAAACCATGATTAGCTGATTTATTTTTTTTTTTTTTTTTTCATATTTTAAATTTGTTTGTGGTGAAAACCCTCTTTTTTGCGATTGGATGTTTATTTTAACGTCCTGTGGAACACGCATAACGATACCTATTGTCAGACAATGACCATGAAATAACTTTTGAACAGTGCCCCCATTGAAAGATGGTACCCCCTCCCCAACTATTTGATTTAACGGAGGCCGGGTGTCCGGTGGAAAAAAAATCTGTCTACCTTTGAGCACTGATGAAATTAGGCGCCCCTCCGCCGTAACATCCAGCCCACCTCCCCCCCCCCCCCAGGATGAGAACCCTGGCTACGCTGCTGCTTTGAGGTGCAACAAGTTTTCAAGGGGGGCACTGAAGGCAACTGAGGTATTGTTTTTGTGCAATTCAAGATTTTAAAATTGCGGGTGGGGGTAGGGATCTTCATTGCCCCCCCCCCCCCTGTAGTTACGCCACTGTGTGATTTGTGTCTACGTGTGATCTGAAGAATGATTGTTACACTACTCTTCCCATGGTTCATGATACATGTGTCATCTACTGATGAGTGTATGAAATTATGAAATTAAGAAAAAAAAAGTATCCTGCACAACAACAGAACAAAATTGTGCTGAAGAACATCAACATTTCAAAAAGTTAACAATTCACAACTGCAAGGGCTAGACTTTCTCATGAAAAGTTTGACACCCAGATGGTATCATCATCCTGTGATACTAATCCCATCTATCATGAAGTTGACTCTGTCTGCAGAGAAAAAGCTCCTTGGGTTATCAAGTCTGTCGATCGTAACGGCTCAGACAAAAGTTAAATGATACTATGACGACCAATGAATGTGTAAACATAATCTGCAGTGGATGGGATGGTTATAGAACGTAAAGGTGACGTGATACGCATTGTGGTACGACAACTAAATATGGGAAAACTATCTCGCATGCAACAAACATGTTAAAATATTTCTACTGAGGTTAGGTTTGGCAGCTAAGTAAAAGATAAAAGAAAGGGCATTTTTAATTCTTGTTGATTTCTGGAGGAGACTTACTTGTAAAAAAAAGGAGGCTTTAAAATCCCACTAAAATGAGATTTTTAATTTTTGTGCAGTAAATTCTTTGACAATCCGACAAGCACTTTGTGTAATTTCATCTTCATTGTTGGAAGTTGGGACATGTAAAACCTTCTTTGTGCAGTAATGCTCTTTTTGTTTTTCAAAATCAAACTGCAAAATGGCAATTATCTTCCAAATGTGCAGGGGTTAACTTACAAACCAACTTTTTTACCAAAGCCACAAAAAAAAAGACTGCAATAGAAGCGACCAAACCAACAGTTTGATTAAAAGGAACTGAAGCAACTCAAATAAGCTGGAAAGAATGAAAACACAGGAAACGTGTTTGCGGGGAAAAAGTGTTTTAAAAGTAATTTCTAAAAAGCTGAGCTGGGATCAAAATGTCGGTCATTCCTTACCAGAAGAGGCATCGCCTGGTGCCGGCCCGCCAACTGAAGAAAAAGGGGGAAAAGTGACGTTGGAAGTTTTTTTTTTTTTTTTTTTAAAAGGTTCCGACATGCAACATGCAAAGTCATTAACCACAATCAAGAATGCACAGGGATGATGAACCAAGGCATTATGGGAAATGCACAGATATGTAAATGAGTATAAAGGACATGTGATCGCTTCGGCCAATCATGATGCAGATGGCGATGATGTCATGATGAGGCACAGAACCGTCAGGAATGCTAATTAAAACAATACAAACTTAGAATTGTATGCCTCTGTATGCTGTCATTTGCAAAATCAAATCGGGACACATTTACTCTTGCTTGCTTTTGGTGCCGATGGCAAAATTAGCTTCGGCTATTTTTCAGAGAGCAACCGTACAAGTCTTTGTTAATTACGCATTATATCATTTTCCCACTAGTTTGATTCCTATTTAGCACTATTTTTAAAACAACTAGATTTGTTTAATCCGTGAATAAGATACACAGATAAACACAAGATGACGTCAAAGAGGGCCATAGAACAAATATTAACAAACCATGACACAGGAAAAATGGTGAAGGCGCAAAAAAGCTACGACGCTGTGCAGTTTGCCAATTTGTACTAAGGAAAACCAAATCTACCAGAAAACTGTTTTTAATCTTAAAACTGACGATTTTAGCATGGCTTTTAAAAAAAAATACAATAAGGGCGTTAGGAAATCAGAATAATAGCAGCTTTGAGGTGAAATACGAGAGAAAAAAAGAGGAATTTTAAGGCACAAAAAGCAGTGGCACATACTCATTGTTAGCCACTGACAATGGGAAAAATCCTATGCCCTACTGTTTGACAGAGCAGAAACGAGAATGTCTACATAATTGTCAGACTGAGACAGAAAGGAAAGCCGATCGCATTTCTGCCTCTTCGGGGCACTTTACTATATTCCTCACTGATTCGAATAAGTTTTCCAGACTGTTTTGTTCATTCCTGTTAATGTTGGTTACAAAGGAAGGTTTAGGCTTTGCCATACACACACAGTGGAACGTTATTAACAGTTTGAGGTTGAGCGGCATGACACACATAGTTAGGGCACGATGGTCTAGCGTTAGAGCACAGGCCTCATGATCGTGGGATTGCAGGTTCCAGCCCCGCCATGGCAATGCGTTTTGTGCCCTTGAGTAGGGCGCTTTACCTCAATTACTCCTCTCAACCCAGGTGTTAAATGGGTACCGGCATTATTCAATGCTGGGAAGGTAACAGACTCGCTTTGGAGGTGTGGCGATCCCCCACAGCAGCATTTCATGGACTCGACTCTGGCCCAATCGCTTCAAAAGAGAGACGGGCACTCCGTTCCTGTGAACACAGGTTCGTCCCTTTGCCTTTTTTGCATGACACACACAATTTAGGGTAAAATGCCACCACCTTCCTCCCCCCACCACCAGCTGTTTCCCCTCACTCATTCCAGGGAAGACGTCAGGAGTTTCAGTCTTTACAAGCAGAAAGACTTTGGAAAACGGGGACTAAAAAACCTGGCCACCTGCATAGGAGCACACTCTAAACACTACTGCATTTTCGTCAGCTTGTGTGCATTGCTACACCGCAAAGCGTGCAAAAAAACTTGCGCCAAAAAATATTTTGTTACAAAGCTTAGAGGGCCCGTTACGAAGACACACGTGTAGCCAGCTAACTTTGAGCAGACCACAAAACCAATGCTCCACACTTTTTGCTCAAGACAAAGGCACAAGCAGCAGAGACCACCTTCGAACGTCCGTTTAAGAAACAAACGCAGTCGCAGAGTGAGATGTGCCAATGGTATCAGATGCTTCGGAGTTCAAGCAAAGCTACCGACTTATCTGATGACCAACATTTGAAGCAATTACTGAAGTGGCAGTATCTCTGTAATGGCGATCCCAGACTGGTCCATACTGATTTGAATACACCTTTACAAGCTCAGCCGACACTTCACTCACCAGTTCTCCGAGGAGGGATTTCTCCCCATTACAGTCAGCATACTAGCATTTACTAAAAACTACATTTTACTAAAAACTGAAGCAGTTTGGGCTTGTTATTAAAGCGAGGGCTGAGTAAAGTTGCCACGAGAGGCTGCCAAACACTCCACTCCACTCCAAAAAAACCCAGGACAAGACATACCGACAATCGGTTTCTGGCACGCAGAGCACCGGCGGGCAAACTTCTCCCCGTAGCAGTCGGCGCAGTAGCGCTTCTCGTCCCGCAACGTAAAGCGCTGGTTCCAGAGAGACTTGGAGCAGCCTGAGCAGCAGAAGCAGTCTCTGTGCCAGGGCTTCTTCTGGTAGGACAGACCGCCGCTGGAGATGATCTGAGGAGAAGGCAAAAGAAAAAGAACATTTAGTACTCTCTCAGACCTTATAAAAAAAGAGAATAAATTCACAAGAGGACTTGAACTGACAACCTTCTGAGTAATGTAGATTTCTTAGGTACTCTGCCATCAATCTTTCCAGGAATGGGTGGCTGAATTGATTCTGATAACAGAGCCTGGGACTGTCCGCGAAGTCCAGGTAAGCATCTTTGTAAAGGTTCGAGGCATGTAATGAGCCACCCAATTTCATGTCTCTGCTTACCATTAGCGAAAAAGCCCCGCTTACTGTAGCAAAAAATTATGTGCTTACGGTAAGCATATTTCATGGGTTAGCGAGGAATTTTGGCTTTTGCGCATGCGTTCATCCCGTTACTGAGGATTGTGTGCTTACAGGGTTAGCACAGATTTTTTCTGCAAGTGCTGAGTGTTGGCACAAAATGGCCATCGTAAGCGCCAAATTTTGTGGTTAACAGAGCCATGAAATTGGGCCAAGGTCCTAGCACATGGATTTGCTAAGCAATAGACATTATGCTTAGCAGCCATCTTAGAGGGAAACACCATTGTTTTGCTGGGATGTGCATGAGAGAACCTTTTGTGCATCCTATGCTAATGAATTAAGATAACAAAAGATGCCCTCTAAAATGGAAGCTACACATAACGTCTATAGTTTTTCTGCTCAGCTTCTCCATGAAAATGTCTAGGCCTACCTCTCCGCAGCCGGTGCACTTGATACCGAAGGTGTCTTCGTAGCATTTAGTGCAGTAGACGGAGGACTCCTTGGGTACGAAGCTGCCGGTGCCAATCTGCTTGTCGCAGACTTTACAGCGGAAGCACTTGTCATGCCATTCTTTGCCTTGGAAGCCAAGTCTTGTTACGCCTACAAACGAGGAGGGAAAAAAGGGGTTGAATCAAGATTACAGTTCTAAATGTATGAGATCTATTTTTCTTGCCAAGTGAGGTGCCCTCTACTGACTTTTTTAAGAGAATGGAGGGCAGAAATGAATAATTTGTTCAGCAAAACCTCAGAAAATTTCAGAAAGTCCTTACAAGTCTTAATCAATCCTCATTAGTCCATCACAAGTTCTCACAAGTCAGTCAAGAGTCCTCACAAGTCAATCACAAGCTTTCCAGTCTCAAGTCGGGCGACAAGTGTTTCTATTTTTTTTCTTCTCTGCTGTCCGTCTCCGGTTGATTTCCTTGTGATTATCTTTTTGATTGACTGTGTTACAACAGAGCATTCACAAGCCCAAGGTATACAATTTGCTACAGCCGCATGCATCAGAGTTGGTAAAAACTAGTCTAGTCTACTGATGAGTACCAGCCTACAAAAATGGTGATTGAATTGCAGATTCTCAGAATAAAAATGTGACAGCTTACAACAGAAAGCAAGGGCAAAGGACTTAGTCTCTCTGAACCTTTCTCTTATTGAAGTCGGGATTATTCACTTTCTGCGATTACCCGGTAAGCGTAAATTACTTCGGAAAATCAACCACTACTTTGCCAGTAGTGAACAGCTGGAGGAAAACATAAAGAAGAGTGAGTGAATCGCTTACCAGGTTTCAGGATCTCGCCGCAAGCCTGGCACTTGTTGGCCAGGTGTTTCTCGTAGCAGGTGGAGCAGCACATCTTGCTGTCCCAGTTGCCGAAGGCCTTGTCAGCCAGGGACTCCTTGCAGAAGTGGCAGGTGTAGCGGGCCTCAAAGCAGGTCTCGTGGTAGTGCTGATTCTTGAACGACAGGTCCTAAAGAAAGAAAATAAATACTTCAGAGTTGTCATTTACTAAACCTAAGTTGTTATATTAAAATCAAATGCTTAATTTTTTTCTTTTCCTTTCTGAAACCAGACCCTGAAATCCTCATAAATACTGGCCCGGTTGCAAACTGATTTGGGGATGAAGCCAATTTCAGATGGTGTGGTCATGATTTTTCTCGGGAGAATATAGGGGGAAAAAACGAATAAAAGTAGATAATCTTGGCCCACGTTTAACCCAGAATATTCTTTTCGTATTTTCTTCCCGCGTCTAACACAGGCCATTCTTCCAAATGCTGTCCTTACAAAATACTCACTCTTGTATAAATTGTGAAAAAAATTCACAATAAAAATTTTTTGACAAGTTTACTCGGGTGAGACTTAAACCAACCCCCCTGTTTACTAGTGCAAATGTCTTACAACTCAACCACCAATATGATATAGCAGCCGGTAACAAAATTCATTACTCCTTTGTATAAAAAAAAAAAACCACACAAAATAGTGAGTAATTTTAAAGCAAGAACTACCTTAGCATCGTGTCCAATCTTCTGCTGGCACTCGGCGCAGGTGTTGGCAAACAGGTCGTTGTAGCAGGGGATGCAGTGGGGGTTGTTCTCCCGCAGGATGTAGCTCATCCCACTCAGCGACTTGTCGCAGTGGTTGCAGCAGAAATGGCCGGGGTGGAAGGAACCGTCCATGGCGCGCACGTACTCTTGGGAGAAGATCAACTACGGAAGAGACAACAGAGAAAACAAGGAGACATTAAACAACTTGCCAGGTGATATCTAGCCCATCCAGGAACTTAAAGACTGAATGTGGTAACCCTGTAGTCTAGTGGTAGAGCACAGGCCTCATGATCGTGGGATTGGGGTTCGAGCCCCGCCGTGGCCATGCATGTTGTGCCCTTGAGTAAGGCGCTTTACCTCAATTACTCCTCTCAACCCAGGTGTTAAATGGGTACCGGCATTATTCAATGCTGGGAAGGTAACAGACTCACTTTGAAAGGCAGATGGGCACTCTGTTCCTGTAAACACAGGCTCGTCCCTTTTTGAAGACTGTACAGTCAAGCTGGTCTAAAAAAAGCATAAGTTCTGTACCAAGTATCGTACCAGCAAGCTCCTGATACGAGCTCTGTAACTCAAGTCCCAAACAAGGTGACTTCGATTTACTTGATATCATAATGGGACTGGAAACGAACTTTCATGCTCGATTGTACAAGCTATTGTGAATAACTGTCATGGACTGGTTGTTTTGTACAAAAGATATGTACCATGAATCTGTGCCCAGATTGGAACCCCTGCTGATTTCTGCCAAGCAAGGAAATTTACGAAGCAATTTTTTTTCCATGAGCAACTCAGATAGCAAGAAGTGGTCTGAGGGCCAGATTTCTTTTTTACATCACTATTTCAAGCAATCTCTGTCTTTGAAGTTGGCTTGTTCTTTGCTGTGTTCAATGCTTACGGTCTTCCTTCAATGAAATATACATGGTGGCTCCTTGAGCTGAAATTTGTATCAGCTTAGCAGAGCTGTGAAATATCACTCAGGACTGACCATCTCAGAATTGGGATGAGGCAGTTGCTATGGAAACCTTATCACCATGACAACCAAGATGATGACTTGGATAGACAGATCATTTAGGGCCCAGCTGTTTGGAGGTTAAGCATGGTGTCAAGTTATGCAAGGTGCGAAGTTGACAAAAAAAGGTGTGGCCATCCACTTTCGACCTAACCTAATCATGCAAATGATAGCCCAATCTTATGGCTCTGCCAACCAAAATATTTTCACATTCACTATTCTCTGCTTGCAGCGCCTAAGGGCTGACATTCTATGCTAACCCTGTAAGCATAAGATGGACCTTCCATATTTAATGAGGGATAAAGACACCTGGCTAAGTTGTGAATGGGATCTCGGTTGCGACCGCTAGATGATGATGATGATGATGATGACTAGTGTAAGCATAGAATACTTGTATGTCTGCATACGTCTATATGCACAAGCCAAATTCCTTGCTAACCCTTGAAATATTCTAACCGTCAGTGTGGAATTTTCTGCTACAGTTTGCAGCATTTTTCGCTTATACATTTCTGCTTATTTTTACCCACCAATAAACATTCTTTGTAATATTAACCAATACACTTGGCTGGAATTTTTCATTTACGCTAAGTAAAAATTCACCATTGGAAAAATTCTACTGACCAGACAAGCTACCCCTAAATCTCGGTCACACAACTTATTTTCGTCCAGCAACAAACAATTGTTATTATAATTTTAACCAATACAGTTAGTTGGACTTTTCACTTACATTTACGTTAAGCAAAAATTCACCATTGGAAAATTCTACTGACCAGACAAACGACCCCCAAAATCTTGGTCACATGACTAATTTTCATCCCAGCAACGTACAATCCTTGTAATATTAATAATAAACATTACCACCAACCGAGACAGTTTGACATTTTGAACTTGCAACTTCTGGACGAAATTGAACCTGTGAAAAGTGATTATTCTCTTGGAAATTCCACAGAGCGTATGTTCGATATTACGGGGCCCTGGGGGACTAGCACGCACATCTGGTGTTCACACTTGCTCAGTAATGGAAATGAAGGCCAAATGTGACAAAATGAGAAATATAGCAGCTTGCTCCCTTGTGGTAAACACATGCTCACTAGTCTTTGGCCACACCACGGTTATATTCTTAACTTTGTAATCAGTTTGGTATTTTTAGATTGGTTTCATTTGAACATAATTATCTTTATATATTGGCCATTACATTTTATCATATTCCTTTAAGTGACTTTTTCTTCTTATTTAAATTTCTGAATGATTTTTTTCTTTTCACTTCTTAAAATTATTTTACGACATATTTTGGGACTTCTCTTTCATAAATGTTATTAAATTTTTGACACAAGAAAAAAATCGCACATTTATAATTGGAACATCTGGAAATAAATATCCATTTTGTTACAATATATATTTCATGTTCACCCCCCCCCCCCCCAGTTAAAAACAATAGGGTGTTTCTTGATTTAATTTTAAAATATTATCAAATTTCCAATTTTTCCGTAACAGGAAATGATAATTAATGGTATTGTCAGCAATTCTAGCGTAACTGCACCTACATGTACTACATGTAACCCTCAAAAAAATTCAAAGTACACTCCGTGTACGAATTCAGGATGTTGTGACATTAAATAAACAAATACCAAGCTGCCAGGTACGCATATTTCCCTCAACATGTAAAATAAACACAGCCCGGCAAATCCTATTATTTACAGTGAATGATCAGTGACTAGATTTCATATTATTTTTTATACTTTTTTTTTTGTGGTGGAAATATCAGCGCCTCAGGGCATATGCTCGACAGATGTAACCTTTTAATGCACTTTTCCATTCGGTGTTAATTTGGGGAAATAATTTGATAGTACATGCACTTTACTAAAGGCATGTCCCTTCGAGCTGATTTGAAAACCTGAAGATAAGACCCACAGCTATGAGTCAGTGGAGCACATCTCCATGAACAAGCTGCTTTACTGTGATTTTATAGCGTGCTATTATTGGCTGTTGCCAATGATTTGAAATCCTTCAAATGCCACTTTGCTGACACAGCAGGCATGTCGAGTTCCTGGAGTTGTGTCCATGGGCAATCTACTTTACTGTAATTTTCCCCTTGTCCAAGAATGAGTCCCCCCCAAAAAAAAATTCTTCCTTAAGTCGTCAACCTCTTGGTTCCCTTTCAGTTACTTTTTTTTGCCAATCTGAAAATTGCCCACAAATGGACAAATTTTCCTTTATTCCCCAGATAAGAAACTTGAACATAACCCAAAGAAGTACTTGCGAAATATCCTATTCTGATATCCATATCCTATTAAATTTGTTGACACTGGCATTACATGCAGTGAAGCTGTGAAGCACATAATTTTTACTAAGTATCAAATTTATTTGCTGAAATTAGGTTACCAGCTAAATACCATGCGATGTACACTACTTCTTCAGCTGGTCCCCTTCATGTACAGCTACTGCTCAGCACGTGTACTTGCTCAGCAAAACTGTCCCACAGAGAACCAAATAGCCTACACCCAAATCCAGTTCCCATTTTTGAGGTGTCACCCTACATTCCAATCTGGGAGGATGACCCTGAGAAACAACAACACGGTTGACCTTGGACCTTGATGAGGACACAGCCTGTTGACACAACAGAAGGAGGCCAGGGGGCCATTCATACAAGCCCACTGCAGTTGATGGGAGATGTGTGGCAGTAAAAGATCTATAAATTGGCTGACAAAATACTGTATGGGCCATTTGGTAGGCCTAACTACTATTTAATAATGTCCCTTGGTTTTTTTATGAACGCTAAACTACTTTGTGACAGTTTAGTACTTTTTCAAACATTTCTTTTCTAATTCTACAAAGCTGCAGCGTTAATTGTTTCTTGTCCTATTTTCTGCAGACTTGGTGTGAACATTTCCGTTATCAATTTTCCATTGGGAAAATGATTGGAAATTAGAGGTTTATTTTTTGGCCTAAGATTTGGAAAATATTTTTAAAAGTATTGTGTGATAATGAGCCCAATAACAAGGAAAATATAGCAACAAGCTAAAAGATGGCAAGAAAAGGGGAAATATGATGTTAAAGAAACACCAGAAATGAAGCACACTTATTCAACTGACTTCCATGTTCCCTTCAAAGAGGAAAAGTGCAACTTTAACTACTGCATTTACGCTGACCCACATTTTCTTAGAGCAACAACTTTTCATATTTCTTTTAGGTACGCCAATTGACAAATGGACCATTTTCTCAAAGTAGGAACAAAATCCCAGCAATTTATTTATCTCTGGCATATCGTTCACTCAGCGGAGCGGTAAAAAAAAATAGAAACGCGGAGAAACGGTGACGTATTTATGGCTGGGTCAGTGCGTAATCTTACCAGTGGGTCACGATCTCATGATGGATTTACACGACGATTGATTTACAATTTTTGCATAAAATGTAAATAAACGAAATGAAGGAGTAACGAAGAAGCACTTTGATATCGCGTGATATTTGTCTTGTTGCATGGACTGCTCAGTACAATAATTCAACTCAATTAAGACCGATGTACTGTCGGACTGGGCTAACATTTTGACTTAAGACTTTTGGAAAGAGGTACATGTAGGAGTTATGTTTGGCATTAAAACTGATTGTCAGATCCAATCCCTGCCTCTGGAAAGGAATTCATTGCTGTCAATTCCCCATATTAATGATTTCGAGTTTGGCCAATTCATGTTTTACAGATGCACTTTAATTTGATGCAGACCAGCTGTTATACCAACATACCAGGTCAATTTCTACGAGATAAAAAAAAGTTGCAGTGTGCCCCCCCCCCCAACTTATTCACATGACACAAGTTCCGGAACTTCAGCAAAGACATGACTATGCCGACTCAATGAACTGCTGATCTCAGAGGGCCGACTTACAGTCCTCTGTGAACCTGTTTGACTGACTTGACTGACTCTTTGACTGACTGTCACTTGTGAATTAGACTCGCGTAAGTCTAACCTTAGCCCTAACACTGACTTTGCTGGGGTTCCAGAGGGCTACAACAGAGCCAGCTATTTCAAAGCCTGTTTTCTCCGTCATTGTCAGTTGTGTAATCCGAACTCCAAGGAAGTGATATTAATATGCAAATACGTCATATCTCCAGAACGGGATATATACCAAATATTATATACCATATGAAAGCTTACTTTGT